TGGGTTTATTTGTTACAATCAAAGTTATATATATATATCACAGACTAAGGGTTAGTCTAGTTTGTTCCCAGCAACGTCATGTGGAGGTGACTCAGGAGTAGATTTTCCAGTCTTTTTTGGCACTTCGTGACGTAGGTTATGATGAAGTTTTGTCTGTTTATGATCCGCTGGTCTGGTTAAGCCCATCAGACTTAAGCATAAAGGGGCTTTGTTGTCAGAAGACTCTAATGTTATAAAGAAGGAATGAAACAGTTGCTGATATATCAATGGCAGGAATGTCTAGTTTTTATCTGGTTGAACGTCAAATTTCCACTTTCAAGTTTGTAGTGTTATGTCATTTGTGTGATAGGGTAGAATGTATAATTCTGATATCTACTAACAATGTGAACGGAGTATATGCTTCAAGTCAGCAGGCCTGATGTGTGGGAGACAGGTGACAGAAAGATGGCAGCTCAGGCACATGACACGTGAGCCAGTCGGAGCGTGGCACAGCAGCACTTTAGATCTCCATGATGCTTCTGTTGTTATCTCGTTTGACAGTGTTATGGTTGTGCTTGTTAATCCAGGAATGTGATATTACTGGAGGATCTGGTTAAATATTCATGGGTATTATGCTGGTAGGCAATAAATCAATAGTGTATGTTTCATAAGAACACTTCTATTTTATGTGTTGTGTACCAAAGTCATGCCTTCATCATCTTAGCGATAAAGTAACCGTACCTCCCATACCTTAATATACAACAGTTGTAGCACTAAAGTAGTTTTGAACTTGCAGCAAGTTGGTTTGTCCCGATTTTGATGGTCTGTCAGCACCAGATCCGGGTTAGAAATGGTCTTGGGATTGGGTGGTCAGATTGGCTTACTTGGTTGACACATGTCATCATATCCAAATTGCATAGATCGATGCTCATGCTGTTGATCACTTGGTTGTCAGGTAATACCATGCAGACCTAAGTGTTCATTTCAGGTGCAGATCTCAAAAACCATTTGACATTCCAAATTCCATTCTGTCTGCCAAGTTTGGTGAAGGAGTATTGAATGGTTGATATTCAAGCTAACTCTAAATATATGTTGAACGCAAACTTAAATAAACATTTGGAATACTACTTTGTGTTTTTTACTTCCTAGTATGCCATGGTTGTTCTGTCCTAATACCTTGTGGCTGATGTGCCCTAGTTCCTTGTGGATGGTATGTCCTACTCCTAATACTCTGGTTTGTGCATCATAACATTGATAAGAGTAAAGGGGCCCAGTTTTTAGCCATAAGGTGAATATTCTTGGTCATGAAAAGTAAGCCAGGCTGTCAACTCAAGTGTTTCAGTCTCTGTTTTTACTCTGTTAAGCCAATTGTTGCTATGCGATGTTAGATAGAGGATGGAATGAAGCACACTCGTGAATCTACACGTGAAACACAGCATTAGCTTCCCCATGAGTGAATGTTTAGTTCTCTGCGTGTCAGGTTACATGTGGGGCGCTGAGGACGCTCAAGATCAACATGATGAAATGCCACTTAAAAAAACAATGATCAAGAGTGTAAGTCATCTGATGCAGGACCATAGTATACTGTTATGTAGGACAAACAGCAGTCAGCCATCTCTGTAGGGAGTACATGGTATCTGCTGGTGCATGAAGGCTAGTAGACTAAGGCTTAGTCTCTGAATATATATAATTTTGATAGTAACAAAGAAGCCCATTTATATTGAAAAGGAGCCCTAGGGAGACCCGAGATTCAGAACCTGAACCTGAGGAAATCTAGACTTGCTTTATTTAGGGCTTTAGCACTGCAGAGATGGCTTGGCAGTAGGGAAATTAATGTGGTTCAGGGACTGTGAGACAGACTAGAAGGCTAGGTGCACTCTTGAAGACAAGGGCCCGGTTTGACCGAACCATATGCTTCTTAGTGTGAGTGTTTGGTGAGGAGGCCACAAACAGGATCAGGTGCTCAGGCTCGCTGGCTTGGTTGACACATGTCATCGTAACCAAATTGTGTAGATCGATGATCATGATGTTGATCACTGGATTGTCTGGTTGCGACTTGATAATTTACCGACTGCCGCCATGTAGCTGAGTGTGGAGTTCAGCAACAAACAAACAACACTGTAATTGAGATAGTGACTGCTTCTCAATACATTGTCAGCAGGTTTTCACATATGGCCAGATAACTGACAATATATTTTGTCACATTTCATGAGTGAAACACTGGCTCAGTTACCATTAGTAAGCAGATGATATCACGCCTTGCTTGAGACTCTACATTATGAATAATTTTTCTCACATACCCTGTCGGTCGTTTCTGTTTAGAATGTTAGCTATTTGGTTTGTTCTATGAATTCCCATGAATTATTCCCCATTATTATTCGCTTGACGGGATGTTACACCACGTTGGTCATGTGACTTATCAGAGAGTCACAGAGACTTGACAACTTCCTGACATGTCACATGGTATGGTCCAAGAGTCGTATTCTTTTTCAAGTGGCGGGTCACGTGTCATCTGTGACAACCAAGATGAATGTTTCCTTAACAATAAAAGATTAACAGCGCAAACTGTCATTGCTGCTTGTGAGCCCAGGAATTTGTTGCCATTACAAAAGTTCTGATATGTCCTTAAAAGGATATATAGGTTAGATAAACATACAACCCCTGAAATAGAAATACTATTCGAAGCAGAGTTGAACTTAACTCACTCACTCACTGTGTAGAGACAATATTTCTTTATGAATATTGCTTTTTCTGTTATGAGTTCTGCTAAGTCATTTTTGACTTAACAAAGTTGCATATTTTATGCAATGAACAGATTCATGACATTGAGACATAGAACAAATGTTGGGGCCAGTAATGTTTGGTGAACTTGCCAAGAGTAGTGCTTTTTTGAAAAGTTGGTAGAGAGTGATGTGAGTCACAAGATTAAGCTAATGTTTACCACTAGATATGTTAGTTACAGTGCAGACCAATCAAGGATTGTAGTTGGACTGATATGGGACCAGCGTATCATGTAACATCTTTGATACATCTCTAGGGCTCTCATTTCTGGTAACCGTCATTAACCCCAGTTCTAGTGTCCATTCACTGAGTTCATGCAATCTCAAATTACCCGCCCATGATTTCCCATCAGCCAACCTGATTTACTACAATGCTAAATCTATTGGACCAATCAAAATGTGAGTCAACAAGCCATTTTCCATGTTGGAAGGGTGATATCAACAATATGACCACCAATGCCATTGATTATGATAGCATTTGCAGGTAATTCAACATGCAAATTGACACTCAAGAGAAAACCCTGAAAAAGGGTATTTTCATGTCCATTAAAACCAGCGATTGTAAATCCAACCCTTCTTATGTTCTTCGGTTGCTTTGGCTGAGTGGTTGGTAAAACCTTAAGGAAAATTTAGTGCAGGTAATTTGAGATTGGAAGAGACACAGTAATGGGTTCAGGTTAGTAAGTATAGGCTTACCAAACTGAGCCCAGGAAATACAGAGGATGATCCTATGCAGGGAAAGCCAATACCTAAAGGCTACAAGCAGCCAATATTTTCACATAAACTTTTGTGGAGACCTGCAATTACATGTGCATGTGTGCGCAGCGTGACCTCACAACTATAATAAGATCTCAATATTTGGCTACTAAGGCTACATTAACAAGTTCAGGAGGCCAAACACATCATCCACAGCTCTTAAAATATCAGTGGACACATTCAGCTGAAGGGATGGTGTTAAAAGAGGACCAAGTACTAAACAGTGGAGTCAGTTTTAATTATTAGATGTATATATACATGTGAAAGACACACAAATGTTGTGAAATGTCATCAACTCACATCTGAAAGGTATCTCACTGCACACCCACTTTATTCTTTCAAGGCTGGAAGCTGATCTGATGTATTTGATCAAGTGTAGTGGAACCTAATCACCACCTGGTCATTCAGCTGCCTTTATTTCTACAAGGCCTGTCAAATTTGAGACAGTGTAAGGATAGACAACTTGCCCTGGTGGGGTCAATTACTGTCTTTATGTAAACAAAAACCAAACACTTGATTCTGAAAAGGATACTTTGTTGCTATAGTCAGAAAACATGTCGGGAATTTCATTACTGTTACATACTTTTCAAACTGTTAATTTCCCCCAAAGAAATTCATTGCTCATGCTCTCTCAATTTGAGGAAGACCTCATATGCAGAAAGAAACTATTATGTATTTAGGAGATTTGATAAGGCTGTCCTGATTATGGAGCTCAGTCTTCCACATTCAACAGATGAGAGGCTGAAGGCCATATGACCTCTTATCTATAACTGTATGTGGCAGAAGAATGTAATGATTTGAACATAAAGTGGGAAGCTGACTAGGCTTGTGATAGGTTGTAACTGGTACTGAAGGGGTCGTTGTCGGAACAGGTACTACAGATGTGTACCCCAGGTGCGTTTCTGTGTACAGACATGTACACTAGCCAAAATCAGAATACAGAAACGTACCCTAGGATGATTCCATTCCGCACTGTGTCGTTTTCTTGATCGGAACTATCATACTGTTGTATTACATACAGTTGATTGCTTTTTATAAGAAACGAGCATACACACTAACAAATATTTCGCGATGCACAATAACACTCGCAGTCAGTTGAACAGGAACAGCTACATATGGTTTCCGTTTTGGATTGTGGAATATGGACTCGTCCGCCGTTTAGGGTACCGGGTACATTTCTATATTCTGATTTTGGCTAGGGTACATTTCTATATACAGAAATGTATCTGGGGTACACATCTGTAGTACCTTTGCCAACAATGACCCCTTCAGCGTAATTGGTGGTTTCAGAGTCTCAGGGACTGTTACCATTCATTGATATCCCATCTTGTCAGGGAACCTTGGGATTTATAGAGGTGCAATAAACCATTGAGTAGGGGCCAGGTGATATGTATGTGAGGAGGAAGTACCCCGATAATTGTTGCCCCAAACTATAGGGTATTTATTGTTGGGAGGGCTGAATGGTCAAGACTTGCCTTCTTGAAGGTCAGCGAGAGGTCAAGGTGACAATGCCTTGTCAAGTATCATGCTGGATAAATATGTTATGTCGTGATGAGATGTGAAATAGAAATGTCCTGTTAGAAGTGACCAGTTATGTAGCTTGTATGTTGACATTGTTATTGTGATTTATGACTTCTGGTCCTGTTGGATAACACGCGATTGAACATTGTTCTAGTAGGTAAGCAGGTGATGTAACTGTGACTAGAGATGGGTGAAAGTCTAACACTATCACCATGTAGTACAGGGGCTTACAATAGAAGCACTATCTGCCTCTTGTGGGGAGACCTCCACAGTATGCTAGACGACTGATCAAGTCGAGAGGGCCTACAGTGTCCAGGGGCTCTGCTTCTAGGTAAGCTCATTGAATTTGACGCGTCAATGCAGACATTTTTAGTTTATTGAGCTGGCATTTTCAAATGTCTTGATCAAAGTGCTGATAATATCTTTTGTTTGTCACTAGACAGACATGCAGTTCTGTAGTGTAATATTGCAAAGGTGAAAGAGCTCCATGCAATAGGTAAGAAGTTGTCATCCATAAAGGTGTATGTTTCATTTTTGAGTCACCAACTTCTAGAATACCAATCAAACAATTAATATTGCAAAGTGTTAAATATACATGATTCTGCAACAGAATCCTCCAATATTACACAAGTAAGTTCCTAAAATTTAGGAATTGAGCTGAGAATGGAGTGAGTATAAGCTGCTTGATGGGAAGGAAATGAATATAGGCTGAACTGTCACAAAACAGTGGCACAAGCCATGCCTATCCCCACCAGAGACTTATGCTTTTATGAAATTTATAAATTAGACTGTGCAAAAAACACCTTTATACTGAAAAGGAGCACCATTCAGAAGGGAACTGCTGAGCCTGACTTCCTGTTTTGAGGACGATAGCTTTACAGAAAAGCCTGTATTGAGGACGATAGCTTTACAGAAAAGCCTGTATTGAGGACGATAGCTTTACAGAAAAGCCTGTATTGAGGACGATAGCTTTACAGAAAAGCCTGTATTGAGGACAATAGCTTTACAGAAAAGCCTGTATTGAGGACAATAGCTTTACAGAAAAGCCTGTATTGAGGACGATAGCTTTACAGAAAAGCCTGTTTTGAGGACGATAGCTTTACAGAAAAGTCTGTTTTGAGGACAATAGCTTTACAGAAAAGCCTGTATTGAGGACGATAGCTTTACAGAAAAGCCTGTATTGAGGGCGATAGCTTTACAGAAAAGCCTGTATTTAGGATGATAATTTTACAGAAAATGTTTGATGGAAGGAAAATAATATGATGCAGGCATTCACACTCCAATACCGAAATTAATTAAACAATTTTTATCGGTACTGTTTTTATGATATAAATTTCAGGCTTATGTCAGACTATTTAACCAACTGATGAAACCAAGATTGACCAAGATGATCAGTTTGCAGTAAACAAAGCTTGTAAATCCCTTGACAATACTATCCAATGTGCCATTGAAGTTTTGATAGTTTGTAATACATTGTTCTTTATGTACATGGTTTGCTCTCCTTGCGTAATGATAACATTGTATACTTGTGTAGTTATCACAAAGTGAAAGACATGGTACCTGGAGATAACGTGAGGTTATCACAACTAATATTGTCATTAGGGCTTATTCTCACCCAAGGAATGTTGATAACATTCACTAGTATTGACATTTTATCCGTTTCATCTACTACTCTCGACAGGTTGAACATGACCTTAAAATACATGGGTGCCTAGCTTCTTAAGCATTGGAGTGTAGGGCATGACTGTGTCGGATAACATGCAGTCGACCAGTAGCCTTTAGACACAGAAAGTGCATGTTAATATTTTTTAAAGGTCTAACTTCTTATACATGTTCTCACAATTATCTCTTTACACACATGTTAAATGTGTGATACACTGGTGGTATTTATGTACTGCTGCAGTGCAGCTGGATTGGTGCAAGCGTCGGCAGCCATGTTGAAAAATCTGTGTGTCTATAACTCAGACAAGTTGTTCAAAATGTATTGAAGGGTGGTGTATGTTTCAAGTCAAGTGGGACTTGATCTATGTTGTCCTTTTTCAAACTGTTTTTTAAAAGTAAATTTCCATTTTGATGATGCTTTTAAATTCTTTCAAATTTCAAAAGACTCTTTACACTTATCTGTATGTATGTTTGTTCTTGTGATGACATATTTTATTCAAATCATTTGGATTTTGAGGATTAACGCATGCAAATATTTGAACATTTGCATTAACAGCAACTTCTAAGTGTCCCTGATGACATCTTGAACAGCTGAAAATATGTTTTTGTTATCTATAACTTGCTGACACAACTTTTCAACATTTTGTTCTCTTTACAGGAGGTGATCGCAGACATGTCAAGGTCGCTTCCTGTCTTGATTGTGGCCTTCACCTTGGTCTTCCTGACCTTGGTAAGGTCACAGGCGTGCCCAACAAATTGCAAGTGTGACCATACTGGAGATGGATGGAAGGCTGTTTGCCGTGGTGGAATCTTGCAAACCATTATGAGAGGCCTGAGTGTGGACTTCAAATCTCTTGCGGTGTCATCCAGTAATATCCGCACATTGCAAGCGTCTGACCTTCTGGCCGATGTGGAGGTACCCCTGACCAATTTGTCCATCACTAATTGCAGGTTGCAAAACATCCAAGATGGCAGTTTCCAGAACCTAACAAATCTGTCGGCTTTGGATATTAGCTCTAATTACATTGCCACAATCAGGAAAGGTGCATTCAATGGTCTTGCAGGTCTCCAAGTCCTCAACCTCTCACACAATAATATTGCAAATGTAGCAAGTGCTCTACAATCATTACACAATTTAAAAATACTAGACCTAAGCTACAATGCTATAAGTGACCTTCACACTGGTGCCTTCAGTTCCCAAGAACAACTAGTCTACCTTCGTCTTGATGGTAATAGGCTTCAGAGCCTGCGTGGCTACGTGTTTCAAGGACTTCAGAACCTTCAGCATCTAAGCCTGCGACACTGTTTGTTGATCAATATCGCTAGTGATATGTTCAGCATTGTGAGGAGCATACGCGTCCTTAACCTTGGCCAAAACCAGATCCAAGAGCTCCCTGCATCAGAGGAGTTCCGGAACCTGCCCTCGCTGCAGCACCTGTACCTGGACAGCAATCAGATCACCACCCTCACAGACTCACAATTCTCAGGAATAACACTAGACACCTTGCAGCTGTCACGCAACCAGATCACCAAGGTTACCTTGGAGACCTTTAAATACTTCAACGCCGTGTCATTGACCTCTCCTATAATATGCTTGTTGAGATTCAGAACAACTTCTTACGACCAACTGCTCCACAGTTGGAACTGTTAAATATGGCAGGAAATCCACTCCGAACTCTTCCCAAATTTGCCTTTGAGGGATTGTACAGACTGAAGAGTCTTAATCTGTCAAACTGTCAGTTGGAGAGGATTGAAAAGAATCAGTTTGACAATTTACAAAATCTTAATGAGCTAGACATATCTCTGAATAAACTGAAGAATGTTCCAGGAGAGGTGTTCACTTCACTTCAAAAGGATGTGTTGTTACATTTGCATAAAAACTCCTGGCATTGTGATTGTTATGTGAAAGCACTCAAACTGTGGCTTGAAGGTCACGGGTCTGATCTCAGAACCTGCCATCGAGATGCACTGTACCGGGATCAGTGCACGCTGGAGAAGTGCCACTCACCATCCTCGCTAGCAAATATTCAAATAAAAATGTTAGAAGACTCTGATCTTAATGTGTGCAGCAAAGATTCCACATCAGACCCGCTGCCCACAAATACCCAACTGGCAATAGTCCTGCCGTGTATAATAATTGCAATATTTTTTATAATCTTGGCCATAGTCTTATGGCAAAGAGGAAAAACAAGAGATGAGCTGAGAAGACAGTGTGTCAAGTCACCATCCGAGCCAGTCAGTAGCCATCTTGATTTTCTGGAACCAAAAGAACATCCATTTGACAGTGTGTCATTAAATGAATCGGATCATAATTTTGTGTTTAGGAAGTACTTTCAGACTATGCCCTCCAATCCAGACATTTTTATTGAAACCACATCATTAAGTCACAACCCTACTGTAGGTGGCGCTGATAGTGTTTATTCGTCGATGCCATCCATCAGTAGTGGCTCCAGTGTCAATTTAGGCATGGAATCGACTGTGTAGTTCTAGGAGTAATAGGTTATTAAAGATGTTCTGGTTCCTGTTACAGACGAAAATATATCCTTTTGAATTATGTGCTTTCCATTTCTTCAAACCTCAGATTTCACACATGAGTAATAAACATCAAATATTTTTATTTTTAATGAAAGGATAGTTGAAAGTAATTAAGTATGGTAAGACAGATTGCCTGCATTCCTGGCATGAAAAATAAGGAAAGTCTGGTAATGAGAACCAGAACATTTTAATTTTGTCTGTATCGTAACCATGGTAACCTAGATAATTGTAGACACTCTACTGTGCATGCTTGATTCATACCATTGACCATTGTGTGTATATTGTTTTCATGTGTGTCGTTGTCATGTGAATCATTGGACTAGAAGACACCAAGAACAAGACAACTTGTCACCATAGCCAAGAAGATATTTTACTCTCCTCCTGTTAGTCTTTTGTTTTATATGGAATGCTTGTAACTTACAAAGGATGATCACGATCATCCAGCTGTTCCCAGCTGTATCAGCTGTAGATTTTTTACATGGACTTATTGGGATGGGCGATGTGTTTGTAAGCTCATGTCATTGTTACAACTGTTTTTACCCAAGTTATCGTAGAGATTGGGCCATCCATGCTTTGTCTAAGATGTGTGATGGTAAGGCAGAGTTTATCTGTAGCAATAGACCGGTACATATCAAGGATGGCTTTAAGAGTATTTCAAGACATGAGAGATGATGTTTGCCTCTGAAGGCAGGCATAGTGTGTGCATGTGTCGATGTGTGTACATGCAAAATACCATATCTGTGTGTTAGGGGAGTAGTATTTTAGTACCAGCTAGTTCGTGTGTGTGTGTGTGTGTGTGTGTGTGTGTGTGTGTGTGTGTGTGTGTGTGTGTGAGATGAGTCATGCATGAGAGTCGTATGCATGTGAAAGTATGAAAGTATGCATAGCCTGTATGATGTTGATGCATGTGGATGGGTGTTAGGTTCGTGGAAATATGTCTACAGGGGATAAACTGCTGTGTTCAGGTAATCCATTGGCAGATAAAACTCATAATTCCAAGGATGGGTATTATTCTGTCCTGTAATGAACAGCTCAGTCCTGCACAGTCAGTCAAGAAGAGGATGTACAGAATGTATGCCCTCAGCCTCATGGGTAGGACTTGTATTGTGTGCTAGTCATACGTCTGTATGCCTGTATGCCTGAATGCCCCCAAAGCATATCAGTTTCTTGTGTGTATTCAGTGAAGTGATCAATTCATGCATGTTGGTTTATTTGTGACAGGTCTATACAAACTTTCTGTGGATAGAAGATACTCAGTTGTTGTTGACATAGAGGTATGTTTGTTAATGCGATCAGGCCGGTTATCATGATGTTGATGTACTGTACTCTAGTGTGTCGGCCATATATGGTCTCCGATGGGTGTGGGAACTGCAGTTTATATTCCATTTGAGTGACTGTACATGTATCTTCACTCATCTTATTAAGTGCAAACCCCATTCTTGTTTCAGAAAACTGCATTTTATCACAATAAGGTTAGCCCAGTTTTATACTTAGTAAGTTATAATTACTTATTTTCAAAAATATTGTCCAGAATTCTTGTTTTAGTAAAGATCAAGGTAGCCTAAGGGTTTAAAGCACCAAAACATCAGAGTTTCTTCCCTTACTTCTGTCAGATTCTTCTGCTTATTTGTCCAAATGCAACAATCACAAATATAATGATCTTTGATTGTAAATTCCCTATATGGTATGTGCCAGTACCAAGTACGGTATCTGACTTTTTTATGTCAATGAGCAGAGATGTCAGTCAAATACTAGTTAGTAATGTTCAAAATAACGCACAATTCCTTCACAAACGTCTCACTGCTCACATCTTTTTACCTCATGCAAAATATTTCCTGGAACAAATATAGAAAACGTGTCAAACAATCAATGAAATTGGTTTTGCCTTTTTAAGTCAAATGACACGAGATTGACTGAGACGATATTTTGTTTTACTTCACAGTCGGAATCATCTGTAGGAGTGGGGATAACATTTTCAGTGAATAAAAACCCAGAATGGTAGTGAAAGAGGAACAGATTTTAGTAGTTTTTTCATTAATATAAAAGATTCAAATCAAATTCAAATCACACCCTCTTCATATCAATGCAAGGAATTATCATTTTCTATGATAGTGACAGAGTTGAAAGAGTAATATTTATTTACAATAATATCTGTTTTGTAATTTTTGCTCGACGTTGAACCATGTAAACTTATTTATTCTTATTTTTCATAATACATTTTTCATTTTGTCCAGACAATGACCTAAGACATATTTTTATTTTATTTTCATATTTTTTCAGTTAACTTATCATACTTAAGCAGCCAAGTGTTTCACATAAGACAAACTTGAACACTTGATAAAATCAACAAAAATGTTCTTTATAAGAATTTTATTACCTATGTTCCACGTGAGTGCTCATAAAGCCCTTTAATGGTGGAGGCTGATGTGATGATATCACTTTATACCCCAGTAAAGACTATTATAGCATCCTTGGCCTACATTTCATGAAGTGAATTTCTGTTATAAGATTCTTCTTATCCTTTGGCATTTATTCACCTCAAATGTAAAAAGTAAAAGTAGTTCTGTCAACTTTTATGGAATTTTGTATGTGAAGACAGACATGACATTAATGTGTATACATGTAAAGAGAAAATATTTGGAATAATTCCACGATGTATAGACTAAAGAAAACCAAGTTCTATGGAGAGTCAACTTCTTTATTGCAAAGAGTGCAATGTTTTGGTGTAGGTACTAACACCGTTATCAAGCAAGATAATGGTGTTAGAACCTACACCACGATGTCGCACTCATTGCAATTAAGAAGTTGACTATCCATAGAACTTGGTTTTGCTTCATCTTTACAACTTCTAAAATGCCTCTTGTCTGGTCCAGACTGGATTATTTACAGACCATATAGCTGGAATATTGCGGTGTGTGGTGTAAAACTAAACTCACTCACTCACTCACTCTAAAATGCCTCTCAAAGAAATGTAGGGACTAGTTCTGACTGGCGCACTGTATGTGTATGATAAGGGTTATTGTCATCAGCTAGATTGCTAGCAATAGAAGTCTCCATATAAGAGGTAATGGGATACTATTAATGAAGCCTTTTCTTTGTCTTCTCTGTCATGATATTGAAGAAATATTGTTTAAAATACTGTTCCTTCATGGAATGCTATGTGATAAATATCGTATCTAACTGGTAGCATTGTACCCATTTTACTAACTTTTACACTTTTTGTTAGTGGTGTGTACATTAAGGTGTCTGTATCCTTGTGAAATAAATGGCTATGTATTGAGGTGACCTTCAAATACAAATTTATGTGTTCTAAGAACACTTTTTTAAAGATATCAAATATGACCAGTAACAAATTATTTGTGGGTGGCGAAACATGAGTACAAACTATTTTTTCCATTTTCTCGAAAAATAGTTGTTTCAAAACATTCCCATGCACTGCACCATGTCAATGGTAATGATGTAACAGCAACTCTTATGTACACTCGTTAGGCACCTGATGCCTGGACAACGATATGCCTCTGTCTTTATCGATATAGGTGAGGGCTTCTTTGTGTGTTTTACTAAACAGCTGTTTCTGTGAAGGATTTTCACATGGGAACACATGTTGTTTAGGTACTGCATCATATATTTGTTTATATCTGGTTTTCTGTAGTGTGTTATGTCACAGAGATCAATCAGATTGTCCATTCCTGTGTTTCTTATCAACATTCCACACTTACATGTTGTATTTCATTGGCATACCACAGAGGCTTGTGTATGTACATGTATCACTTTTATAGTTTTTATGAAATGTTTTACTCAAAATGCAGTAGGTGCCATATTTAGGTCTTCAGTGCCTTTTTAATGTCCCACACCGAGTCTTTATATGTTGCCTTGACAACAGCTTGTTGTTTGTTGAATGAAACGAGAGATACTGTTTACAGTACAGCAGAATGTTCACTGAATATTGTAAGATGTAAAAGCTCCCTGTAGCCATGTATGTTATTTTTTCCTTGTCTCCTTTGAGAGTTAATTCACATGGAAATGTTTTTTGCGTCATTTTTTGTCACTTGAGGCTGATTTGGTTTTTAAAAATTGGACATTTGGGTTTTTTTAAATGTCACAGTGTGTCACAAATTTCTTCTTTTTTTTTTAAATGGTGAAAAAGAAAAACTGTTGACATGTTCTGTCTTGGAACAAGACTATTTTTAAGCTTGATTTTATACACAAGTTGCAGTTGCAACCAGGTGTAGACTTGATTGTTTTTATGTTTTAAACACCTGGCTTGAAGGGGCAGCAAACATCAGTGCTTTACATGGGACCAGAGAAACAGCATGTATCTCATTATGCAGAACTCATTTCATACCTTTGTATTTCACACACAGTTCATATGAAATAAACTCATTTTCCTATATGTATGTTGTTATTAAGATGTCCTGGACGCAAATACTTCTTCTGAATATGTTAAGGCCAGACCAGTTTATGTTGTCTAGAATAATCTGTCAGAAGTACCTTCTGTAGTTGGCAATAATTAGTCTGGTAATGTTATGTCCTTCCGTTCAGGAGTGATGTCTTGGCTGTGCTTCCTTTCAGGAGTGATGTCTTGGCTGTCTTTCTGTTCAGGAGTGATGTCTTGGCTGTCTTTCTGTTAAGGAGTGATGTCTAGGCTGTGCTTCTGTTCAGGAGTGATGTCTTGGATGTCTTTCTGTTAAGGAGTGATATCTTGGCTGTCTTTCTGTTCAGGAGTGATGTCTTGGCTGTCTTTCTGTTCAGGAGTGATGTCTAGGCTGTGCTTCCTTTCAGGAATGATGTCTTGGATGTCTTTCTGTTCAGGAATGATGTCTTGGATGACTTTCTGTTCAGGAGTGATGTCTTGGCTGTCCTTCCTTTCAGGAATGATGTCTTGGATGTCTTCTGTTCAGGAATGATGTCTTGGCTGTGCTTCCTTTCAGGGATGATGTCTTGGCTGTCTTTCTGTTCAGGAGTGATGTCTTGGCTGTCTTTCTGTTCAGGAGTGATGTCTAGGCTGTGCTTCTGTTCAGGAGTGATGTCTTGGATGTCTTTCTGTTCAGGAGTGATGTCTTGGCTGTCTTTCTGTTCAGGAGTGATGTCTTGGCTGTCTTTCTGTTCAGGAGTGATGTCTTGGCTGTCCTTCTGTTCAGGAGTGATGTCTTGGATGTCCTTCCTTTCTGTTCAGGAGTGATGTCTTGATGTCTTTGTCTCTGTTCAGGAGTGATGTCTTGGATGTCTTCTGTTCAGGAGTGATCTGTTCAGGAGTGATGTCTTGGCTGTCAGGAGTGATGTCTTGGATGTCTGTTCAGGAGTGATGTCTTGTTCAGGAGTGATGTCTGTGTTTTTCTGTTCAGGAGTGATGTCTTGGCTGTCTCCTTCAGGAAGGAATGATGTCTTGGATGTCTTTCTGTTCAGGAGTGATGTCTTGGCTGTCTTTCTGTTCAGGAGTGATGTCTTGGATGTCTTTCTGTTCAGGAGTGATGTCTTGGCTGTCTTTCTGTTCAGGAGTGATGTCTTGGATGTTTTTCTGTTCAGGAGTGATGTCTTGCCTGTCCTTCCTTTCAGGAGTGATGTCTTGGCTGTCTTTCTGTTAAGGAGTGATGTCTTGGCTGTCTTTCTGTTCAGGAGTGATGTCTTGGCTGTCTTTCTGTTCAGGAGTGATGTCTTGGATGTCTTTCTGTTCAGGAGTGATGTCTTGGATGTTTTTCTGTTCAGGAGTGATGTCTTGGCTGTCCTTCCTTTCAGGAGTGATGTCTTGGATGTCTTTCTGTTCAGGAGTGATGTCTTGGCTGTCTTTCTGTTCAGGAGTGATGTCTTGGCTGTCTTTCTGTTCAGGAGTGATGTCTTGGCTGTCTTTCTGTTCAGGAGTGATGTCTTGGATGTCTTTCTGTTCAGGAGTGATGTCCAGGATGTCTTTTGTGTTCAGGAGTGATGTCCAGGATGTCTTTCTGTTCAGGAGTGATGTCCAGGATGTCTTTCTATTCAGGAGTGATGTCCAGGATGTCTTTCTGTTCAGGAGTGATGTCCAGGATGTCTTTCTGTTCAGGAGTGATGTCTCTACTGTTCGTCCATTCAGGAATGATGTCTTGAATGTCCTTCCATTCAAGACTGATGTCTTTCTGTTCAGGAGTGATGTCTCTACTGTTCGTCAATTCAGGAATGATGTCTTGAATGTCCTTCCATTCAGGAATGATGTCTTGGATGTCTTTCTGTTCAGAACAGTGGGGGAACGCCAGAGCAGTGGGGAACACCTGAGCAGTGGGGAACACCAGAACAGTGGGGGAACACCAGAACAGTGGGGGAACGCCAGAGCAGTGGGGAACACCTGAGCAGTGGGGAACACCAGAACAGTGGGGGAACACCAGAACAGTGGGGGAACACCAGAACAGTGGGGGAACGCCAGAGCAGTGGGGAACGCCAGAACAGTGGGGAACACCAGAACAGTGGGGAACACCAGAAATGGCAAATTGGACATTGTACTCATGTTGAGAATCAAACCCAGGCTTTTGGCATGAGGATGTGTCAGCTTGATGTGGAAGGAAGTGAGTTTGTCACTATGGTGGTGTGTTGCTCCAAACCTACACATGGGATCGGGTGGTCAGGTTCGCTGATTTGGTTGACACATGTCATCGGTTCCCAATTGCGCAGATCGATGCTCATGCTGTTGATCACTGGATTGTCTGGTCCAGAGTTGATTATTTACAGACTGTCGCCATATAGCTGGAATATTGCTGAGTGTGGCGTAAAACTAAACTCACTCACTCCAAACCTACAGACATCTGGATAAATCTGTGTAAAATAGATTCAATCATAGATGTGCAAAGTGAGTGAAGTGAAAATAACAACCCTGTATTGCCATTTACACTGTGACATATACAACACGGCATTGCAATGCAATACATTAACACAAACCTTAGTTGCATGTTTTCTCAGGCAGTTTTGTCTTGCTCAGTAAAATGCATTGCATTATTGATAGGGCAGTGGAGTTAAAGCATTTGCCTGTCAGGCCCAAGGCCTGGGGTTGATTCCCCACATGTAATATGTGATCACACTGCTGGTGCCACCCTGTTGTCATATTGCCGGAATATTGTTAACTAATTGTAGTTAGAGTGAGTGAGAGAGTGAGTATGGCTTAACACCAGCAATATCACGGCGGGGGACACCAGAAATGGGCTTCACACATTGTACCCATGTGGGAAATCGAACCCGGGTCTTTGGCGTGACGGGCGAACGCTTTAATCACTAGGCCACCCTACCGCCCCAATTGTAGTTAGAAGCAGTATATACAACGGATAGAAAGCGAATATCAGTACCGGTGGATGAAATGATGTTATTGCGAAAATGCTTCATTGCCACGATACAAAAAGACAAAAGTCCAGACGTTACGGTATAGCGAATGGTCTGACGATAAACAAGAAGAGACAAGACATAAAACAATGAGAGATCCAAGGAAACATTTCAATAAAGGCGGTAAGCTGACATCTGCTCCCGTACCTAATACGTACGCTTCACTATAGTTAATTCAGGGGAAGGGCACAGTCCTCCTCCTGTCCATGGGTAACGCCAACATAGGTGGTAGACTGACACAGAGGAGCGATAAGGGTGTGACGTGGGCCAGGCGATGCAGGGGACATCGTCTGAACCTTGTGTTTGAGAGTAGATTAGGACTCTCAAAGTTATGTGACTGTGAATGTCTATCATTGTAAAAATCATTTGATATGATATGACAGACAGACGTTGATCTGGTCGACCGAGGGTAACCAACGGGACACACAGACCGGTACGTCAAAACAACTGTGTTATGAAACAGTGGTCAAAGTGCCCCTTAGATTAGAGAAGAGTGTCACAGAGCTACATGCGTTTGCGTGGAAAGACAATTCGCAATCGGCTGTACAGATGGAACCGAAGAACGGTGTGGGGTGGGATCACCGTGACTGACTGAACACCTTTACATTTTATTCTCGTGGGTGCATTCAGGAAGACAACGAAAGTGCACACGGTGCTCGTACTGAGAACCTCCAACAGGGGAACATAACTACCTTTCCCTGACCAGCACTCAATCCAGACTTGCCACCCATCGTACATGCCTGGTATATATGTCCTTGGATGGTTCATAGGTCATCGTCAACAACTGATAGAAGCAATGTACACAACTGATGGAAAGAATCAATTAACAGAATTGGTAGATAGAAGCAGTATATACAACTGATAGAAAAAAATGAGTCTACGGAATTGGTAGATAGAAGCACTATACACAACTGATAGAAACAATGAGTATACGGAATTGGTAGATAGAAGCAGTATATACAACTGATAGCAAAAAGGAGTCTACGGAATTGGTAGATAGAAGCACTATACACAACTGACAGAAAAAATGAGTCCACGGAATTGGTAGATAGAAGCAGTATACACAACTAATTTTGTTAAGAATAATTCAGTTTTGAAATAAGTACATAGAAAACCTATCGGATCTTTCCTCAACACAATTTTAATAGGATATAAAATGCCAATAGTTATGACTTCAATGAAAGGACTAGTAAAGCGCCAGATTATGTGAAGGATGATAGACTTGAATATGTCAATGGCCTGCTGAAAGAGGTGAGGTGAGGTGAAATTGGGTTTATCGTCGTGCTTGAGAATATTTCGCTCATATGACGACGTGCATGCGTGTGTATGTGTATGTGTGGCTGCTTGTACTAGCCCAGACTTAAGCTGGTTTTATAGTGCCAGCTCACTGAGATACCATGCCGCAGTGAAGCATGAATACCCCACTCAGACACATTATACTAACTCCGAGCCGACCAGTCCTTGTTGTACCCATTAATGCCGAGCGCCAGGCAGGGACCAACAAGTACCATATTTTAACGTCTTTTGGTATGACACGGTCGGGGATCGAACCCGCGACCTTCCGCTCTCCGGGCGGACGCTCTAACCACTACACCACGGAGGCGGTCTGCCTGCTGAAAGAAGCAGTATACACAACAGATAGAGAGAAGCAGTCTACAGAATTGGTAGATGGAAGCAGTGTACACAACTAATAGAAAGGATAAAATAAAATAAATAATGTGTCCATTTATATAGCGCTCATAGCGCTAACAATCAAGGCACAGCATATTATTACCCCGGATAACCCAAGCTGCCTGTTAGGCGCTAGAAGGTTATAGTCATGTGACTTTTTCCACCCATTATCCTGCTGGGTGAACAGAGACAATTTGCCTAAGGTGAGACCACATGTGTCACATGTGCTTCGTTGTTGGGCAGGACTCAAGCCCTAGAAACTCTCAGGAGTCAAGCTGCCAAACACGGTTACCCATCTAAGGACTCTCCGAGCTCGACGCTGCTTAACTTCACCGATTTGTGACCTGAGCTTTGAGCACAGGACCACGGGCCACCAGGCTCAGTTAACGGAATTGGTAGATGCAATATACACTATTAGATTTTGTTTCCAAAAATCCTACAGAAAAACAAACAAAATAAACAAGTTTCCAGAAAACCTGGATCTTTCCTCATCTCAATGTAAACACCAGTATACTGCAATCGCTCAGTTTGTTTGAGAAGGGAGGGCCTGCACATACTAAATGAGAGACTATATTATAATATATTGTATGGACTCTGTTATATGCACAGTTGGAGATACATATAAATACATTTTACAAATATATTTTGAAATTGTTTGTCTAAAAAACTAGATACTACGAAAATATGAATTCTCAAGAAGTGAAAAAGATTAAATGAGGCTGGCTACAAAATCAAAATCCATTCAAGGAACAGTCAAGTAAAACATCAGCAAATAGTTTTCTAAATTAATTAATATTCTTTTAATTTCGGGAATACTTATTTATGCGTATGCGTATTGATTGTTTCTCATGTTATCTACAACTTGACACTGAAAGGGTGAACTCGTTTACTGTCTGCGAGCTTATATAAGGAGGCTTGCGGGGCCGTAACCACGATGGTTTAACCACGACTTTGTTTAACCACGACTTTGTTTAACCACGACATACCAGCCCTCTAGCGATTACGACATACTTATTGTTTAAATGTTAGTTTAGTTGTCTATATATTGGCATTGAAATGACAGCGTGTGATGATTTTCTGGTTATGTGTGGACTCTCCGGTCTATATTTCTAGTTTAAAAGATATTTATTTAAAAAAGCGACAATCAGAAAGTAGCCTCAATAAACCTTTCGTACCTCCTTTCATAGAGAGTAACTCCATGTGAAATGTGCTGTGATAGAACGACCTTCATGTAGACACCGAAATCAGGGTAAAATATAGACCGTTGTCCCGACATGTTTGGCAGTTGATTCTTTATGATGTAATCTCCAAAGATCGCAGATGAATGAATGAGAAAAGTCAAGTAATAATAGATGAAAATTTCAAGCGTCAAACTATCTGTTACAGGTGAAAGAAGCGAAAGTAAAATCATTTCAGACAAAATTTATCATCATCTGGCATTCTGCGCAAAGACACATTCTGAAACCATGTAAGCACGTTTTCTGTGGTGATAAATACTGTAGAGGTATATGGGAAATATTATTTGATCACACAACTATTTACATTCATGATTTATGTACCATTGTACCAAGTACCATTGTTGACCACAACTATGATGTTGCCTACGTTTAGCACCGTATCTGATACTGTATTTTGTATTTTCTTGTATGTAGTACACATATTTTCTACATAAAAACACATAACAATGTGTCGAGGTTTTTGGCGCATAATACTCTCAGACAATAATTAATTATTATTTCCATTATAATGAGCATGTAACACCGAGGATCATGTCAACAAACCTGTACTGAAGTGTGCAGGTTAGCCCTGTTAAACATGTCTGCGAAATATCTTGACTAATATAGATATGTTATGTTGATTTTATTCAAAACTTCACTGATATTGTTGACATTACTTTTGGTGAAATCATGCCGTGTGAAGGTGTTAATGTTGTCTCTGATATTTAGTTTTGTTTGTCAGTACAGTGTAGGCACAGTGTATCAAAACATTATCATTAGTACCCGAATATATCAGTTATTGTAATAGATGTTGTAATGTGATAGACCTTAGCTGAATCAACCTGTGAAGATCCAGGTTAGAACTGATTTTCAGTAACCATGCTTGTTGTAAGAGGCGACTAACAGGATCAGGTGGTCTGGCTCGCTGACTTGGTTGACACATGTCATCGGTTCCCATCTGTGCAGATCGATGCTCATGCTGTTGATCACTGGATTGTCTGGTCAGACTCGATTATTTACAGACTGCCACCATATAGCTGGAATACCGCTGTGTGCGACGTTAAACAACAACCAAACCAAACCTCAGCTGAATCATGAGTATGAATCACACTGTGTCTAAGTGTCATCAATTACTATTAGATTATGTTGCTATTAGTAATAATACATACACATATTATAAAGGGATTGATGTGTAGATTGATGTGTGTAGAAATTAACAAATGACTTTGTGTTGCTGTTTCTATGGAAACAGTAAATATATTCTGATATATTTAATATACACTGTTTACAGAACAGAACTAAAAATGATCTCAGATGTTATAAAATGCTTCGAACATACATCTGGTATGTAAAACAATGTCTACAATTCAACCTGAATGTAAAATGGTGCTTTCTGATCAAGGACAAGTTTCCCTCATTGCTGCTTTTATTAGCAGAATTTATTTATTTTTTCAAGCAAGAAATAATCAGAATTCTAGCTTCTTGTGCCAGATGATATGTAATTTGATAATCCACTTGCTTTTCGCCTTTCAGGAATCATGAAGTTGCTTGGTCAGATAATCCAACAGGTCAGGGGTCATTATAGCATGACCTTGACCTGTGGAAGAACAAAGTTACAACTGGGACACAGGGTAACCCCAATCTCTTCTTCACGAACATTCGCCTCTGAGACAAACCAGGATGTCCTCACGGAGATGCCCCTGAAGGACCCTGTGAAAGGGGAGCTCATCTATGGCGGACCTCTGTGGAAAATGGTTAAAGGCATCAAAGCCTTCTCAGTGTCCACCAGTGCTATTGGACTGGGGCTACAGCCATACATATTGATGAATGCAGGGGAGGCTGCCATGTTTAGTAAAGTAATGATAGGAGGCACAATAAGTTTCTTCATCTTCGTCACCCCACTTCTAATTCATTTCGTGACAAAGAAGTATGTAACCTACTGCTACTTGAACAGAGACACTAGTAGCTTCACCACAGCCACCTACAGCTTCTTCCTAAGGAGGAAGGAGATTCAGTTCACAGCTGAAGATGTTGTAGTGCCGGATATCCCAGGCATGTTTACCACAGTACTGGTCAAAGGGAAGCCACTCTTCCTGGATGCGCGAATGTTCTACAACAAAGAGGCCTACATTCACTTTATGGGCTATGACAAGCCCATTGATTGGACAATGCCAGACTACAGCAAGAAGTCCAAGAAGGATACATGATTGTGAGGGTTCAAGTGTGTGTATGTGAATGTAGATAAAAGTAAAACTTTCAATGTAATTTCTTTTTATTCAATTCAATTTCTTTTATTCACAGTGCTGAATAGGGCTCAGGCCTATAGTACAATGCAAGTGTGCACAATCACATAATGTTTAAAACAGATTTTCTATTGTTGAACCCATGATAGATGTACGTTGATAGATTATTAACAATTTGTAGATTCGTTGCTTTCAACAATAGCTTTAATTATCCCCCGCCGTGCGTTTATCGCGAAGCTTGGGATATAGTATTAGGCTCCGTCCGTCCGTATGTACGTACGAATTGGAATATCTTAAGAACTGTTGACTAGATTCTTTTCATACTTGGTACCTATGTTCATCACAGTGTAAGAAAGGTCCCAGTCAGGTTTGGTGACCTTGACCTTAATTTCAAGGTCACAAGGGGACTTTAACGTTTTACTCTTGCCAGCGAGATATCTCAAGAACCGTTAACTAGATTTTATTCATATTCAACACCAAGCTTTATCTAGGGAAGCACAGGGCCCAGTCGATTTTGGTGACCTTCATATAACTTTCAAGGTCATGACGACACTTTGAAGATTTCAGCATATTAACCTGCATGTCATGCTTGTCAGCGAGATACCTCAAGAACCATTCTCTGGATTTTCTTCATATTTGACACTAAGCTTCATCCAGGGAAGGCACAGGGCCCAGTCGATTTGGGTGACCTTCACTTCATTTTCAAGGTCACAGCAACACTTTGAAGATTTCAGTGTGTTAACCTGCATGTTAAGATGGTCAGCGAGATATCTCAAGAACCATTCTCTGGATTTTCTTCATATTTGACACTAAGCTTCATCCAGGAAGGCACAGGGCCCAGTCGATTTGGGTGACCTTCATTAATTTTCAAGGTCACAGCAACTTCTTTGAAGATTTCTAGTGTTAACCTGCATGTTAAGATGGTCCCAGAACCAATTTTTTCTTCAGTTTGACACCAAGCTCATCTAGGGAAAGTGCAAGGCCCAGTCAATTTTGGTGATCTTCACATTATTTTCCAGGTCACTGCGACACTTTGAAGATTTCAGCATGTTAACCTGAATTCACTGGATTTTCTTCATAGACTTTCAAGACTCCCTTGAATTTTTTTCAAAAAGCAATTTCTCTAGTACCATTTTTGCATATTTAATACACTATGACATTCATGTCAAGGTCAAAGTCAGTCTTGAAAATATTTATGTGTTTGAACAGCTAAAGAGCAAGATATCAAGAGAGGTTGACTGGTCATGTTTTTGTTGACATTTAACTTCATCTTAAACTTTCATTACTTTTTAAGTTTGATTTGATAATTTGCAGCGGGGGATTATGTCACCTTAGTGACAATGCTTGTTTATATTCACAGTGATTGATGCAGTAAAATGGAGGGATATATAACATTCTTAACTTGTGAAAATACGGACAAACTAATATAAAATGATACTCATCTTCAATCACCCCTAAATCACATAACATACACAGTCTGTTTTCTTGTGGAACATTGTGATATCTGCCTTTTTCTATATTTAATTCATGGGATGTACATCTGAATCGTGCAGTTGCTGTCCTAAACATTTTAATGTTAACATCAAAGAGGTAATGCTCTGCTATAGGATCTGAATTAAATGTGTTATTGAGGTTTTGGGTGATAGAGTTAGCGAGGCAGTCCAGAGTTGCACGTACATATCTTTTGACCTTTGTGTTACAGATTTAATAAATACATTTGGGAAGCTAATACAATCAAGTTTAAGAGTATATTCAAATCCACATGTTTCAAGCACATTTCTCACATTTGTTACCCAGTGTATCTTACCATTTCTATCATACATACACATCATATTGTAACATTTTTGGGATATTGTGACTGTGGCATATTTACTAACCTTATCCAATATCTTAAAATTTGCTTATATGCTTCAATATATAAAGGGTAACGTCCACATTTTCCATAAACCATGCAATTATAAGTACTGACCTTACCACCTGAACATCTTTTACACCCTTAAAGATGAACCCATTCTAAACCATTAAAATGTGTAAAACCCCAAACCTCTGAGCCATATAACAGAATAGGTTTAATTTTGGAGTCAAATATTTTAAAGAATGTATTATAATTTACTTCACCAGCCTTCTTCAAATTATGAAATATTCCCATAAGTATTTTCTTACTTGTAGGAGCACATTATTTACATGTATGTTGTTTTTATTAAAAGAAAAGTATATTCTTGAATATGATTCCCGAATGTAATTCATCATATACCTTAGGTGGCAACACTTAACTGAAAGGTGCAGATGGGCAGCATAGGAGTAAGGCTTGTTGTGCCGAAGTTCTGGATTCCATTCTGCGTATGAGTACAATGATATTGCCGGTTATGGTGTCCTCCATCGATGATGTGAATATTTGTATAAATGGTGTAAAAGTAAATCTGAGAGTATATTTTATTAACTATTTTTTTATGCGGTGAAAAGTAGAAACTTAAATCCACAAAATATATTTTGGTTCTCAATGGAGCATTTGTTTTAAGACCGAGCAAATGGTGATCAGAAACCCCAGGCTAATTGTTCGATCATCATTCTAGAAGTTGGAGAGTCAAAAATGAAGCATACAACTCTATGGATGACAACTTCTTGTTTATTGCATAGAACAATGTTTTGATGTAGATTCCGACACCGTTATCAGCTTGAGTGAGTGAGGTGGTTTTACGCTGCTTTCAGGTCAATACTTCATAACCAAGAAAGTCATGCATTCCACTAGAGGAGGTCATGTTAAACACCTAATGTCATAATGATCGTACATTGTCATCACTGTAGATGAATCGGTTTCAGCAGATATGCATTATTCTCTAGAGTTGAGACTTCGAGTTAATTAGTAATACTGTGTACTAATTACAGTAGTACAGGCTTTTTGACAACCCTGTTCCTTGAATGTTATGTTTCGCTGATGTGAATTTACTCGTGTATACCAGTATGAGCCATGTTGAGTCTTTTTCACAGTATGAAAGCGAGTGGTAGTGGCTAACATGTCCTTAGACCTAAATACCCGTGAAGATCCGGGTTAGAATTGAACTTCAGTAACCCATGCTTATCGTAAGAGGCAACTCGCGGAATCGGGTGGTCAGACTCACTGACTTGGTTGACACATCATTGTATCCCAATTGTGTAGATCAATGCTCATACTGTTGATCACTGGATTGTCTGGTCTAGACTTGATTATTTACAGACCACTGCCATATAGGTGGAATATTGCTGTGTGTGGCGTAAAACTAAACTCAATCACTTCTTAGACCTAATTTTGGACTGGTATCTTTATGATGTATCAATGGCAAATGGACAATGTCTTTTGGTCTTTCTTTGGTCGACTATCATCACAGGCAGCTGAACAATGTCTTCAGATCTTTCTTTGGTCTACTCTCACCTCTTGTTTGATCTACTCTCACCTCTTGTTTGATAGAGAAAACAAACAAATGACATATTAATTGATCCTCATTTTTATTCAAAATTGAAAAAAAATGATGACTTAATGAATGTATGATCCTGACTGACCTGTGTGAGGTCAAATGATCATGCTTTCACAACCAACAATTGTTATGTGTCACGATGTTTTATCATACAAAATAGTCATTTAAGAATATTAAATATTGATATTGGGGACTAAACACTGACCCTTTCAAACCATGGTCAGACAGGTCCAGAATTAATTATGAAAAGTGATTTATTCCTTAATGATGCTTTAGACACTATAGATGTGTCCTCGGGTGATGCTGACCATCACGATGAGTGCTGTCCATGGTTTGAGATGGGTCATGCATGGCCTGGGCTAGCGTGACCAGGGTGTTAGTCTGGCCATTGTTGGCACCTTACTGCAGCACCGTCAGCTGATATGTTTCACGTCGTCATAGCAACTGCCACTAAATTCAGATCGGCAGCTGATACAGCGAGATGGTGCCAAGATACTGTCACACAAGTTTTTCACAAGGATATTAAACCAAATTTCAAAAGACTAACACAGGTCAACTGAAAGATAATCTTGCTTAATTGTATTTACAAGTCTTTACATCTTAAAAACTTTCCAACTTAAGTTCAAAAGAATGAATTTTTTCAAGAATAACTACATTGGGAAATATCCATTTAAAAATATATTTTCATGGAAAGTTTGTGATTATTTAGGAGGTAACCCTGCTTCGTAAAGGATGGAAGTGACATCCTGGCAACTGTCTCGCTGACCCTTGTCGCAATAGATTAACCGTGCCAATATCACAGAGACATATCATGATGTAGGTCATGACACTTATTTGCTTGTCATCACTACCAATAGAAGCCTGTAGGTATGTACATTATAATTACACATCTCCGATAGTTACCATAACGTCTACAATGAGGTGCAATTAAGGTTAATCTGATCTATAATCACAGAAATAACAAACAACTACATATGGAGCGACGAGGGTGCTGATGATCCACAACATTGTCAAGGAAACTGAATGGTTTTTAACAGTTGTCATGGCAACAGAATGCAACCTCATTTGTAAGGAACCTTGTGAAATCTGTTCACAAGTGTTTTGTCACAACGTTGTCATGGGAAACCACTCAGAAACCTTGGCAGTTGTCATGGAAACCACTCCCCTGATGTCTAGACAGATTTCTACAATAACATGACTGTTGGTTTGATCAGAAATGGACACAATCATTCAAATGAAGTGAAATCAACAGTACTCAAATCCTTTCACTCAGATTAATGTCACACATAATTAAGGTGAGATGAAATTATGTTATTTGATTAAATATGAATGAACATGTCAAATCATAGTTATATGGATGAAGCAAATGTAGACAGATTTGTTCCCAATGACAGGTGGATGTTCCCTAACTACGTGGACAGTTTCAGAACGTCACAAGGGCCATCGTCATGGTAACCAGTGCCAACATGGCCTATGAAGTCGTTACACATACTGTCCTGTTCTATTGAGTCGAGAATGGAAAACAGTTGAAGATGATGAGCACGATTCTGAAGCATTCAACTGATGTACTCGGGTAAATGTTCACTGCAACAAAGCTAAATGTAACTTGATTGGCTGACAGCTGAAGAGGGACACTCGATGTTGCGCTCATAATGAAAACAACATTTTGACACCACCTAAGATTTCACTTCAACAAACATCAGTATAACTGCTTCAACATTTAACATGTTTTTCGTCAGATTGTACTTATTAATTCTACATCCACAAAGAACAAGTAGACAGATTCACAAATTGTACCAACATAGGGACAGAACCAGAGCCACAGTGAAACAAGTGAACACTTGACAACTGGGCTAAATCACTGTCCCTTACAATACAACAGCATCACTGAACAACATCAGCCCTCTCCAAGCCTGCCTTATTTGCCTTGGTCCTCTGCTTTGATAAATGATAGCCCAGCCTATGTTTGTGGATGAAGCCTCTCTGGACTGAGCTGTCTACATTTGCTTCCCTTGGATGAACAATGAGGATAACTATATACAAAAATCAAGTATGATGCTAGTTCAATGTTCCCTAGAGGGGAGTTTCTGTACACCACAGGTAGTAGATACAATAATTAATGGAATCCTCTAGGCTATGGATCCTAAACTGTTTTCTTTGTACACAACAAGAGAAGGTTACACATATAAAACATGAATCACAAATCGATAGGGGTTTGTATAGTAGGGAATGTTTGTAGTGTTCTAGAAAAATACATTTTATGAACATAAATGGAAATGATGAGAACCAATTTCTGTAGGTTTTGAAAATGAATTTGAACATTTTGGAAGATTGTCAAAATTGAGCTGAAATGAATGACCAAAGCAAAAGCTGGGATGAGAAGTCCTGTGCTACTTACACTAAACATTATGCAAGCTAATTTCTGATTGGTCAAAGAAGGAGGTAATAACTGCTGACTTCTGATTGGTCAGGAAAGCAGGTTATACCTGCTGACTTCTGACTGGTCAGGAAGGCAGTCAAACCTGGTGTTTTCTGATATTTTGGAAAGTGAGTTATACCAACCTCTCATCTGAATGATAGGCATACTTTCCTGGAAAGAAAGAAGTATTTCCAAAATTCTGGTTACAGAAATCAGCTTGTTCTATAAAGTATATTATGTACATAGAGGACAATAATGCACATAGCAACTGTATATATATTATCCCAGTTTAGATCAAATCGAGCATAACCTGCAAACACTACCCACTATACACCTTCCGCCTTTTTTATTAAGTTGTTTCCAAGTACTCTAAAATCTAGACTGAGACAAATAAAAAGTCACTGGACACACACTCTGCAACAAGAAGTGACAGCGTCAATGGTGGCTCACACCATGACCAGCTAGGCTGGATGTCGAAGATATATATATTACACCACAAATACAAAAATATAAAGCATTTTTCAAGGATAAATTCCCTCAGAAAGCAACAATAGAGACTACAGACAATACCTGATGTGTTATTGGTAAAAAGCTGGTATCAAAAGCTAAAATGATGATCTCATCTGCTTCAAGATTTGTATTGGACTGTGGATTATATTCACAGCTGAAACGAGTGTTATCCTGCACCTGTGTCAAAAACTGGTTATATGTTTTTAAAAGCAAAACATTCAATAGGAACAGCATTCAATAGCTAAAGGCTTGCAAAATTAATAGGCATGGCATATGATGATATTCTGCGATGTAAGGCCACCTAAGTCTTGGAAGAGTGTGCCCAGATTTTGTTGCAATTTTAAAATCCATTCGTCACGAAACTTCATGCGTCACTCTAATCAAACGGCGAAGTCTTCCCCAGATGGAATTAATGCACTGTTCGTCAATAATATTGTTCCATTATAAGCAACCTGGGTGAACAGTCTCCACCAAAAGTCATTAATTAGATGTGATTCCATGTTTCCAGCATAGGGTACAGTGCCCTGAGGGTATTCTCAAGCGTCGTCACACACATCCACATTTTATACATCCTCCTCTCCAGGCTCCATGCCTGCTCCGTACATGTCTGCCAGTTTGGCAAACTTGGGACCCCAGTCATTGAGGTAATCATAGTCTTGTTCACTGATACTGGAGGATGTGTTGAGCGAGCTGAGGGATCCAGCATCACTCCCTTCACCCTCGTACACAAACTCTCGCACTGCATCGTGAGGCGGTGCATTATCATCGTCATCTGCGTCTACTAATCTGTCATCGATGAAGTTGCCAACATCTGGAGACTCCCCAGGAGCATCTGAAACATATGCAGCAATTGTTTCTCTATTGTATGTACATATATATGCATTATCTGGCTGTACATCGCAGAGCTTCGCTGGAAGCAGATAGTTCAATGCTGGAGTTGGTTATTTCAACAATGGTCTGAGCCATGTAATCAAGAGGTCGATAGCATGAGCATAGCTTCAGTTGTAAGCAGATGATGGAACACAATCAGCTGGGTGATACACTGATCCTGATTAGTAAACTCTGAAGATAAGCATATGGAACTTGGGATCTATTCAGTTGTAGAATCCCCCGTCACAGCAATACCACACCGTGGCAACGGACATATATGATTGTGAATACCCAAATATCCCCTATGAATAACAAAATGACAGACCAGTTCATTGTGCCTGATCATCATGGCGTAAAGATAGCATGTGACCTGCTAAATAATCACTAAAAGTTGTTGTTTCGTAAAAAAACCCAACACTTTCATGCTTTTGTCTATTCGGTATCACCACCAAAAACTGCAGCAGCATGTTGAAGTAGCAAGGGCAGACAACTCACTTCTCCTGGGCATTTCCCTCCGTGGCATGGTGTCCAGTGGGGGCTTGTGGAGAGATTCTGCATCCGGGCTTACGGAGTCGGTGGATGTCATAAGCATCATGGTCTTCCTCTCCTGAAAGTAAGACCTAAGGTCATAAACACAGAACAGAACTCAAAGACATAGATCACAACTCAAAGATGAGAGAACTGGTTTGAGGGGAGAGTGAACTTCAATATGTCAGCTGTAAGTGCTGTAAGCCCTCGTACCTGCTCCCTCTTCATCGTAGTTGATGACATTTTCACGGATATCGTCTTCTGGATCCACCTCAAGAATGTACTTGTCATCTGGGCTAGGGCGCCGTCCACACTTCACCAACAGAATGATTGCAACTGCCAACACTGAAACCATAAAAAGTACCATATTGAGAGACTTTACAGAACTGAGAAGCTGGATTAATATCATTATGGATAACAAGTTCTTTATTACAAGTGTTTCAGGGCTTATTCTGGTCCCTTCATCTGGTGCATGATCAATGATAAAGACACTCCTTCATTATGAGGAACTAAATACAGCTGAGTAAGGCCATGTTATTCCTTAATGAAACAACAAGAGTGAATGACTGGGTGAGTGAGTTTAGCTTCATGCTGCCTTTAGCAACATTCCAGCTGTATCATGGATTGGTTGGTTGGTGTGTGCTTTAAAGCCACACTCAGCAACATTCAAGCTATATGGGGGTGATCTGTAAATAATCAAGTCTGGAGCAGACAACCCAATAATCAACAGCATGAGCATCAATCCATGCAATTGTGATATGATGACGTGTCAACCAAGTCAGCAAGCCTGACCACCCGTTCCCGTTGGTTGCCTCTTACAACAAGCATGGGTTACCGAGGACCTATTCTAACCCGGATCTTCACGGGTCCCAGCATCACGGAGGGGCCACAACAAAATATATATCATCAGATGTCTTGGTGAGATGAGACACAAATCCCAGCAGTGAATAATAATACAGCTGTCACAAGGTGGCCTGTAAGTTGAGTTAGGGTTGGGCAAACAAGTGGCAGGCTACAGAAGACTTGTAACATCAGGTATGTTGATACACAGCCAGCACTGTCACATATTTTGGCCATTCCAATTTGTCAATCAGCAAGCAAAGGCACATGTCCTATTTACAACTACTTTCTAATAAGGACTTCATCAAGATATTTTGCCAATTGTTTCATTTCCAATAAACTGTCACTCACCAAGCAGCACAAAGATGGAAACAATAATGGCGACAATGGCACCAGTGGTGATTCCTGCAAGTAGTCCTGCAGGTTGCCTCTGCTCACAGAACTCCCCAGTCCAGTCCCTGGAACACCTGCACACATAGTTCTTCTCCTCGGTCAAGTCTTCCTCACAGGTGGCATCGTCGAAACATCGGTGATCAGCGCAGTAGTTGATGCGTTGGCAGCTGCCATCTATCTCCTCGAAGTGTTCGGGGCATCTGTGGAAATAAAATGCAGATTTACTTGGATGTACATGTTCATGTAAGTAACATAACCCGTGTGATGTTACCGAGTTCCATACATACACTGCTATAGCATGACATGCAACAGCTACGATTAATATAGTCTCATGGCATCAGATACAAGGTTATACCACAAGCTACAATACAATACGTAGTACTGTATATCGTTGTCTATAAAGTGACCCAAATGTAACACTGCCCCCTTGTAAAACCTCTAAAATCAATGCCAATTTATATATCCTGTCTATGATTAGTGTGAATGAAGCACATTACATATACCATACAATCCCTACATTTCCAAGAACAAAATGTTTCTCTTCTGTTGTATCTTTTATATGATGTTTGGTCGCCGAGAACTCTAGCACAAGGTGCCGCTTTGTGTGTCAACATGATGCAAAACAAGCTACAGTATTAATGCTGAATTAAGTTAGAAAAGGGAGCCTATTTTCTGCAATTCAGTGACCAGTTAACTATGTGTTAGTTTACCAAGCCTAATTTTGTTGAGCATGAGCTTGGTTTTTCAATAATCTCTGATATGTTTCTTTTCCAACTCTTGTTAATACATGCATAAACAAAGGGAATCGCTTTCAGGTTTACCGGTTGGGTACCATGTGCAACTGATCAGGAACATCCTACAGTAAGTAGAAGTAATTTCATTATAGGTTACATTTTTTTCTACTTCATAGTATATTTCAATCCAACCATACAGTTATGAAGTTATTTATGCAAACAATAATAACAAAGCAATGATTTGAATGAAATATATATCCAAATGTATACTATGGATAAAATATCCTTTCTACTTGTCCTGACTCATACTAATTATATACAAGTTGTATCAGTTTGTGATCATACTGCTCATGCTTACTGCTGGCCCTCCATCGACGGAGATGGACTTTTTTCACCTAGTCAGCTGGCTTGGCAATCGAGATGAGGCGAATTTAAAACTTTATTTGCACAGAATGTATATCATGAACAAGGAATTCAGATACAATTGGTGTTCACATACAAATACAGGTATTCCGCGAGATAATGCGAAGTTTTGCAACTAAAAAACCTCAGTGGTGGGCTGGCTAGCAGACGCCGGGCTGACATCACTAGTGCAACCTGAAAGTGATACAGCTGGATAAAAAATGTGGGATCTTTGACTTCGTGGATAAGGCGACTCCCCTTTCAAACTCCTTTAATTCTAGGAATGAACAACTTACCTTATACACAGCAATATGCAGTGATGCATGAGCTTCACATATTGTGGGGAATCGAACATGGTCTTCCACGTTACGAGCAAACACTTTAACCACTAGACTACCCCACCACCCCACAGTCTGTTTGAAAGGTGGGATGTTTTGAGGTCTATTTGAAAGGTGGGACATTATGGCATATGTTTGAAAGGTTGGATGTTTCTAAGTCTGTTTGAAAGATGGGACATATATGCGTCTGTTTGAAAGGTATTGACAACTGTTTTAAAGATGGGACGTTTTGTTTTATTTACATTTATAATTCATTCTGTTCCTGTTCCTGATCTTTAAGATCCATGTGGGCTTACGAGCATCATAAGTGGGTTGTAAAGGATTCTACAACTAGAGTGAGTGAGTTTTAGTTTTACTCCACTTTTAGCAATATTCCTGCAATGTCACAGAGGGGGACACCATTGTACCCATGTGGGGATTGAACCAGGGTCTTCGGCGTGACGACTTAACACTTTAGCCAGTAGGCTACCCCACCGCCCCTTCTACAACCAGAACAATCTCGTATCACTCACACCAATAGTAAAGTGGCCTACACGCACATTAGAACTTGTATAATCCTAATCACCGTGGTAACTACACATTAAAACACTTCCTTTTTCCTTATCTGCATAGACCCATTCTCCTGAATAAGGTAACAAGATTGTGATTAGACAGATAGAGACTTTAACAAGCCCACAATGGTTTATATCTTAGTTGTAACATAATGGTCAATAATTAGTTTCTAATTTAAAAAATATATATATAAGGCTTCATTTTAGATGTTTTAAGAACATGACAAGTGTGCAGAGTGAGTTAAGAGTGTGAATACGATTTCATGATGCTTTTAGCAACAGTCCAACAAATATCATGGTGGGAGACACTGGAAATGGGCATGATATACTGTGAATCAAACCAGGGTCTTTGGGGTGACAAGTGAATGTTGAAACCACTAGGCCACCCCACCACCCCTAGTTTTAAAGAAAGACGTTTCAATGCTCTTCATGAATTTTTGCTTACATTGTGGTGATTTGCATGAAAGTCTGCACTGAGTTGTACAACAAACTGTGCTTCATCAGTTTGAAACAAATAAGAAATTAAAATAAAGAAATTATCCCCAAATGACAATTCTGCCTACCTGCACTCATAGATCCCCCCAGAGGGGGTAACAGACTCTGTCCGGGGGGCAGGTTACGCCGGCACAGTCGTTTCGTACACAGCCGTCCGTCACATGGCTGACCTTCTGAATCTCAGCAGCCTTGCTCAGTGCCTGTTCTGACACTTCCATAGGGAACCACTCGTTGTTGAGGCGGATATCTTGCAGGCAGGCTGGAATTAAAGGCCATATGGTTCACAATCTACTTCAAGCTTTTTACCTTCAATCTAGAGTGAGTGTGAGTGAATGAATATGGAGTTACACCACTTTTAGCAATATTCCAGCAAGATCATAGTGGGGACACCAGAAATGGCTTCACACATGGGGAACCGAACCCAGGTCTTCGGCATGACGAGCGAACGCTTTAACCACAAGGTGTTTACCAGTCTCAGATGTTTACCAGTTTGGTGAAACCCACAAGCATGAGTAAAACAGTGGTAAAAGACCTAGAAACATACAGTAACAGTGACCTGTAAATAGTAGTGCATTGACGACACGTCGTCCTTACAATCAGAAGAATATTCTTTAGGTCTAAATCCTGAAATTTACATCTTGTAGTAATCAGCCTTAAAACTTTAATCACACAAATAGTCATAGGTTTGAATAAACTGTCAAGCCAAATTCCACATATGGTGATGAAAAAAAAGACCTACTGTCTTGCAGATCGGATGCCAGGACAGGAAGGCTGTTGGTGAATGACACGATGGCGCCAGCAAACATCATGTTGTGCATGTGGAGTTCCTGCTTGTCGTCAGGGAAGCCATATGTGAAGTTATAGTTGGCACCTTCCATGTTGTCCATCTTCAGGACAAACTCGCGGCCATTACGCTCCACTTGGGCGGTATGCCACTGACCGTTACTCACAACGCGTCTGGACAACTCCAGGTTACGAATACCATTGCCCAGGTTGTAGGTCAAGGTCAGTATTCCATCCACGATCTGTAAAAATTGCATGTTTACACATATACGCAACACGATAGAGCCCACTTGCACAAAGCAATCTTTGCATTTACACCTATTCTGGATACAAAAAGCCAAATACACCTAGGACCAAAACATTAATATGTTAAGGTAAACGGCAGTTCCATTCTGATTAAGTGATGTAACATGAAGTTGACTATTAATAAGTGGTTTGGGACGAGATCATCCAGTTGGTGCCCTCCTAAACTGAGGAAGATAATGAGTATCCCCACCTGAACTATGTTGTCACCTCTTGTGAGCAGCTCATGAGGCTCCATGAATTGCTTCGAATGAGCTGTTACTATGGTCAGTGAAAATAGTTAGATTCATTGTTATTGTATGCAGACTGATGTACCTGCAATGTGGTGGTCATGCTTCCGGAAGAAGTGGAAATGGTCCAGAGAACTCCATCTCGGTCTCGAGTCCGGAACAGAATTTGCATCTTCATCACTCGAGAACTCACATTATTGAAGAACTGGTCTTTGAGTCGGTACTGTATAAAACTGTCCTTCCCTAAATCTTTTGTTGTTGCCACTGTGAAAGAAGATTTAGATTATGTAGTTGGATCATGTAAGTCTTAAAGCACACTCAATTCCACTAAATTGTATCCAGACTGACAGATGCTTGTGCCCACCACACCCCTTCATCTAGCACTGGAGTCCTGTAAATCCCATCTCCCTCTGAAGCCCTGTATATCCCGTCTCCCTCTGAAGCCCTGTATATCCCATCTCCCTCTGAAGCCCTGTATATCCCATCTCCCTCTGAAGCCCTGTATATCCCATCTCCCTCTGAAGCCCTGTATATCCCTTCTCCCACTGGAGCCCTGTATATCCCCTTTCCCAGTGGAGCCTGTATATCCCTTTTCCCACTGGAGCCTGTAGATCCCTTCTCCCACTGAAGCCCTGTATATCCCTTCTCCCACTGGAGCCCTGTATATCCCCTTTCCCAGTGGAGCCTGTATATCCCTTTTCCCACTGGAGCCTGTAGATCCCTTCTCCCACTGAAGCCCTGTATATCCCTTCTCCCACTGGAGCCCTGTATATCCCTTCTCCCACTGAAGCCCTGTATATCCCTTCTCCTACTGGAGCCCTGTATATCCCTTCTCCCACTGGAGCCCTGTATATCCCTTCTCCCACTGGAGCCCTGTATATCCCTTCTCCCTCTGGAGCCCTGTATATCCCATCATACACTGGAGCCCTGTATATCCCATCTCCCACTGGAGCCCTGTATATCCCTTCTCCCACTGGAGCCCTGTATATCCCTTCTCCGACTGGAGCCCTGTATATCCCTTCTCCCACTGGAGCCCTGTATATCCCTTCTCCCACTGGAGCCCTGTATATCCCTTCTCCCTCTGGAGCCCTGTATATCCCTTCTCCCACTGGAGCCCTGTATATCCCTTCTCCCTCTGGAGCCCTGTATATCCCATCATACACTGGAGCCCTGTATATCCTATCTGCCACTGGAGCCCTGTATATCCCTTCTCCAACTGGAGCCCTGTATATCCCTTCTCCCACTGGAGCCCTGTATATCCCATCATACACTGGAGCCCTGTATATCCCATCATACACTGGAGCCTGGTATATCCCTTCTCCCACTGAAGCCCTGTATATCCCTTCTCCGACTTGAGAACTGTATATCCCATGATACACTGGTGTCCTGTATATTAGCGGTGGTCCGATTACTTTAAATAATCTATGATTGGTCACAATGATTAAGTGACCAAGCAATCGATCATGTTTTCTCATAATCTAACACAAACAATTTTGGAACACTTGTCTGCATTGACAATATTTTCCAAGGTTAGTTTTGTCTATTACATTTCATAAGCACTGTGAGATCGATCCATGTCATGATTGAATTTATCTTAAAGAGTCCAGGAAAGTAATGTCCCTAATATACTAGTCATCCTTTAAAGATGTAAAATTTGCAAAATGCATTGTGTGCAATTTGAACCCCCCTCGAAAGAACTACATGTTTTTTCTTTATTTTGGGTGCATTAACAAACATAAACAGGAAAATTTGATAACTGATGCTAACCAATTATTGTCGATGATTGATCGGTTGTAATTAATCAATTATCAATTAGGAGATTTTAACCAGTTCCCAACACTACTGTATATCCCATCTCTCACTGGAGCCCTGTATATCCAATCATACACTGGAGCCCTGTATATCCCATCATACACTGGAGCCCTGTATATCCCTTCTCCCTCTGGAGCCCTGTATATCCCATCATACACTGGAGCCCTGTATATCCCATCATACACTGGAGCCCTGTATATCCCATCTCTCACTGGAGCCCTGTATATCCCATCATACACTGGAGCCCTGTATATCCCATCATACACTGGAGCCCTGTATATCCCATCATACACTGGAGCCCTGTATATCCCTTCTCCGACTGGAGCCCTGTATATCCCATCATACACTGGAGCCCTGTATATCCCATCTCCGACTGGAGCCCTGTATATCCCATCATACACTGGAGCCCTGTATATCCCTTCTCCGACTGGAGCCCTGTATATCCCATCATACACTGGAGCCCTGTATATCCCATCATACACTGGAGCCCTGTATATCCCATCATACACTGGAGCCAAAGAGATCCATCCCACATATGCATGTCACATTGCTGCCTCATATATTCTAACACTGTTGCCCCATACATCTCATCTCACACCTGTCTGGCATACACCTGGTGCTGCTATAACCTGGTTTATATATACAAGCTCAATCCTGCCGGAGACTGTACCTGTCTCACACTTGTTTCCGAACCAGCCTGGCTTGCAGATGCAGATGGTGGTATCGGGCTGCCAGGTGGACTCGCAGATGCCGTTGTCACCACACTTGGGGCCATTGATGCTGTTTTCGTCACAGATGACATCTTCCCGTCGGCATGTGTTTTCCCCTGCTGGGTATCCCGGGTTCCCTGGCACTGTCAGATCATACAGCTGCAACAAGTGAGTGAGTGAGTGGGGTTTAATGGCTCCTTAACAGTGGTCCAGTATTACAACAGCATGTCAACTGAACGAGCAAGGAAAGCCTGAAGTGAGGCAGGACACTTACTACTTGGTGAAACCAAAGAGGACAAGCATCAATACACCCTGTCCCACCCAAGAAATACAATTGGTGTGAAGAAAGTGGATATTATATGAGTGCCCATGTCATACTATGTTTACGACAAGAGTGCCTAAATGTTGGTATTTTCCGAGCGAGAGCGAGGGATATACCGATATATCGGCACGAGTGTCGTAAACATAGTATGATATAGGCACGAATATAATATTCTGTTTATTACCAAAGTCGTCAAATTGAGGAAAATACAACCAAATCTACTTTCAAACACAGGCTGGCTACCCGCCGCCGCCGCATGTAGAATGCAACGTCACAGAAGAAACGTGACGTCATGGCCTTGTTCATGATGTCACGTCACCATGACAAAGTGATATTTTGCCCTTGGGCATCATATGAAAAATATGAACCCCGATATGTTCGCCCTCGTAGGTAATAAAAGAATTTAATACCCATGGTTGCATGGTTTGCTCAAAGTATGCAACTCTGCACAGCAGATTGGCGATTACAGATAAAGGATCAGGGGTGACGAAAATCCAGATACTTTCTAGTCCGACATGAGGTTCAGGCAGTCAGTAGTCAAACTGGCCATCAAAATGTTTAAACACTCATAATTGAGCACCTATTAGAAACAGATATATTGTTACCACTTTTGGGCCGTGCAAGGTCCTCCAACATCATCGACTTCTGCAATATTTAAGAAACACATTATGGGAAACTCACTATGCTGTTGTGCATCAGGTTCTTGACACATCCATTAAACTTGGTGGGCATTATTCCAGTGGGTTTATTAGGGGTGGAGTACCGGCCTCCTAGCTGTAGCAGTGTGTTCACATTCAGGTAAATATTTTCTCCTGGGGTGGTACCAGCTGCACGACACATCTTATCATCTTCGACTGAACCTCCGGGGCCCAATGTGGCTCGTTCACAGTGGTCAACGATCATCTCAACATCCTGAAAAGTTACAACAGGCATGTAAATTAGAAGTATAACCTAACTTAACAGAAACTGATGAAAAACATAAGATACATAAAAAATTAAGGAAGAGAGTTTTTATGGACGTCAACTTTGTTATTATGAGGAACACAATGTTTTGGAGTATATCCTTACTCCTTCATGAGGTGAATAGAGTATATCCTTACTCCTCCATCAGATAAATAGAGTATATCCTTACTCTTTCATCAGGAGAATAGAGTACAGTCGAACACCGTTGTTTCGATATTTACGGGACCAGGAAAAAATATTGACGTATCCGAATATTGACACATCCGAGTTGGGCATATCATCACAATACCAACATGAAAGAAATGAAAGAAAACAAATGAAAACAGTAGATTGCATGTCTATTATTTATTTGTCCTCACAGAGATCACAAATACACATGGTAATCTCGTCATAGTGTCCATTTTGAAATATACAAAAGTTGGATTTACTCCACAAACGAAGTGAAGAAATCAGACAGTTTTAGCTCCACAACACAATAGCGTTCAATTGAGTTCAAAGGGTTCAAATAATGATAAATAATGAAGGATTTTGCCGGGACCGAGAAATTACATCGAGACAACCGAGATATCGAGTTATCCGAGTTCCTTACTCCTTCATCAGGTGAATAGAGTATATCCTTACACCTTCATCAGGTGAATAGAGTATATCCTTACACCTTCATCAGGTGAATAGAGTATATCCTTACTCCTTCATCAGGTGAATAGAGTATATCCTTACTCCTTCATCAGGTGAATAGAGTATATCCTTACACCTTCATCAGGTGAATAGAGTATATCCTTACTCCTTCATCAGGTGAATAGAGTATATCCTTACTCCTTCATCAGGTGAATAGAGTATATCCTTACTCCTTCATCAGGTGAATAGAGTATATCCTTACTCCTTCATCAGGTGAATAGAGTATATCCTTACACCTTCATCAGGTGAATAGAGTATATCCTTACACCTTCATCAGGTGAATAGAGTATATCCTTACTCCTTCATCAGGTGAATAGAGTATATCCTTACTCCTTCATCAGGTGAATAGAGTATATCCTTACTCCTTCATCAGGTGAATAGAGTATATCCTTACTCCTTCATCAGGTGAATAGAGTATATCCTTACTCCTTCATCAGGTGAATAGAGTATATCCTTACTCCTTCATCAGGTGAATAGAGTATATCCTTACTCCTTCATCAGGTGAATAGAGTATATCCTTACTCCTTCATCAGGTGAATAGAGTATATCCTTACTCCTTCATCAGGTGAATAGAGTATATCCTTACACCTTCATCAGGTGAATAGAGTATATCCTTACTCCTTCATCAGGTGAATAGAGTATATCCTTACTCCTTCATCAGGTGAATAGAGTATATCCTTACTCCTTCATCAGGTGAATAGAGTATATCCTTACTCCTTCATCAGGTGAATAGAGTATATCCTTACTCCTTCATCAGGTGAATAGAGTATATCCTTACTCCTTCATCAGGTGAATAGAGTATATCCTTACACCTTCATTCACCTGATGAATACTCTGAAACATTGTGTTTCTCATAATAATGAAGTTGACATCCATAAAAACTCTCTTCCTTATGTGTATCACTTCTAAATGCCATTCAAGATGTCATAAAAAATTGCTTCATTCACACAAAATATTTCTTAATACACATCCATCTCTATTCTGTGAATGGTTTGCATATATTTATAAAACTGTAAAAACTTACACTACATGTGAAGAAGCAAGCAATACATACCCGTCCATTTCGGACAATGTCAATCCTGTGCCACTTCCCATCACTGAGTTTCTGCATCTTTGCAATACCGTGAGCATCTCGGCCATCCACATACACCTCCAGAGTTCCAGATCCATGGTCAATCCTCAGTCTCGGGTAGCCTCCACTCAGCTCCAGGGAGATGAAATCTGTTGGTTCATCAGAGCCAGGTGCAAAGTCATCCACAGGTCCATTGTACAAGATGAGTCCGTTCTCTTCCAGTGTGATGATGTAGAGGCTGGTGCGTCCGAACTCACACTGTTCCAGAGGGTCGTATAGGGCGTAGTTGCTGCCGTCGAAGGAGTGATGAGTTCCTTGACATCGGGGGCCATTAAAGCCAGGAGAGCATTTACACCTAGAAGAAAACATCAGTGAGTGAGTGAGTGAGTGGCCAGATCTACTCATTAGTAAGTGATGTCTTAATATCTATGCCATATGACTGGTTACCAAGGCAGAAGATTAAGCTTGCTTGACTTATTATTATTTCAGAGGTCAAAAACGTGTCAACAAGTAGACAAAGTCATCAATATCCCCCGCAATGGCAAAATACTCTTCATGATTATGTCTACGAGTTATGATTATGTCAAATATTTAGGTGTGTATATAGAAAAGTGGAAGGAGAGTATTGAAAGGTTTTAAAGTTCTGCTCCAGAAAATAACACAATCACCAATTTCAGTCAAAGTGAAACCTGTTGCCATGGAAACGCCAAAATATTCTATTCAGAATTCCAAAACTATCAAAAGGCACCAGTACACCACCAGATCTATCTATGTGTCAAGTTTGGTGAAGAAATAGTGAACGGTTTTAGAGTTCAGCTCCGGAAAAGAGCACAACCACCAATTTCAGTCTAAGTCGAAATTGTTGCCATGGAAACGCCAACAATATTTTATTCAAAATTCCAAAACTACCAAAAGGCACCAGTACACCACCAGATCTATCTATGTGTCAAGTTTGGGGAAGAAATAGGAAACAGTTTTAGAGTTCTGCTCCGGAAAAGAGCACTACCACAAATTTCAGTCTAAGTCGAAATTGTTGCCATGGAAACGCCAAAAATATTTTATTCAGAATTCCAAAACTACCAAAAGGCACCAGTACACCACCAGATCTATCTATGTGCCAAGTTTGGTGAAGAAATAGTGAACGGTTTTAGAGTTCTGCTCCGGAAAAGTCAAAAGTGCACGGACGGACGGACGGACGCGACGCACGCACGGACGGAGTCCATTTTAATACCCCCCGCAAAACGCGTTGCGGGGGATAATAAAAGGATGACAGACGATGTGCTCAAAGTGAACTATGAGTTTTATCTTTGCAATTAACTGAAACAAGCCATTCTATGCAGTAAATAGAATACACTTACGAAAGTTCTCCCCAGTCATCTTTATTGCAGGTGCCACCATTGTAGCAGTAGTCTGGCGTACAATCATCGATCGGGGGATAGAAGTCAGAGCGACATCCCTGAGTTGGTTGCACAAACATCTCTACTCCAACAAAGGAGGTGCCGTTGGTGTTGACCATGGCTGGTTGGCCGGTGACATTGAGGAAGTTATAGCAGCTTCCTTCAAATCTCTCCTCCTTACACTCATCGATGGGAACCTGGTCCACCTCAATATTCACAGCTTTCTGGAGCTGAAAACAAACTGACTTATAGTGTGTACATTTGTTATTTGTGACTTACTAATGCTGCTCTAAGCAATGTTTAGGGCGGTGGGGTAGACTGGTAGTTAAAGCGTTTGCTCGTCACTCTGAAAACCTGGATTTGATTCCTAACATGGGTACAATGTGTGACGCACATATGTGGTGTCCCCTGCCATGATATTGCTGGAATATTGCTAACAGCAGAGTTAAACCATACTCACTCACTCACTCACTCACTCACTCAGCAATATGTGACCTGTATGACAGTTGTCTATGAATAATGGAATCTTGACCAGACAAAATAGTGATTGACATCAAGAGCTTTGATCCCAGCAACTGGGATACAATGACTTGCATCGGGTAAGTCAGCATGCCTGACCCTCCCATCCCGTTAGTCACCTCATAAAACAAGCATGGGACTAACTTTAACCTGAATCTTCCTGGTTCACATGTGCATTATAACATCAACATCTAACTAACCAGCTATCATCAAGATCCTTCACTTGCAGGGATTTATCTGGGATTCAAGTAGTAAGTGAATTTGTCATACAAACATGGAAAAAATCGCCAACGCTCATATTTATTAAAAGTTATTTTCTTAATTTCAGATGGAAAGGAACATTCTACTCAATGGAAGAAAGGTATAGCATTTTCCAGTAGTCAAATTGACAAAAGTCATCACGAGTCATACCGTATATTACCGTAGATAAGCCGATCCCTGGCGCTGTATACGAGACAATTACACTTGGTAATCTTAAACCCTGCATCTAGGACAATGCGTAGCAAAAACAAATTAGAACTGAATAGGTAAACAATCTTGTCTAGTGATGTTTAATTGCAAAAGTCGTCTTCTCATGTTGGTTTGTTCACGTGAAACGATACTATGTTGTTTTCTTACCCCTTGAAAAAAAGTTTGATGAAAGTGTAACCCATAGATAAGCCGACTCCCTTCTACAGACTGCTATATTTGGTCCTCAAAATTCAGCTTATCTACGGGGTAATGTACGGTATTATTCAAATATTGGGATCAGAGCAGATCTCGATAAAGCCATGACTTTTTAAAATACTTACCGCATCCTTGTTTACTGCCAGAACCGCATTCATCTTGCTGGATGGGTAGTATGGAGAGCCATGAGCAGAGAATCGGACATCAGTGAATTCTCCATTGTTTTGAACGCTGAGAACATCTACATTCCCTTTGGGCACAGAAATCTTGTCAGCAATAAATTCCTGGAATAGGTCATACTTGCTTTTTTCATATTCACTGATGCCGCTATTGGGCTTTTTGGGTCTAGCCACGAAGTCTTCAGCTGTTATACCTGAAACAGACCAATAATGTTACCTATACAACTAGTAATATCACGAATCATGTGTACCTGTCATGAGTAAAAAATCAGGCAGCAATTAACACAACTGGTAAATGAAAAAAATAGACAAGAGTCATCAAAAGATGACATATCCCCCCGGCCCCCACATATTTGAAAGAACAAATCATCTGAAAGTTACTTAAAATCCAGCTTGACTATTTTTTAAAATAAGTCCGAATCGTTTCCATGGAAACTGAGAAAATAATAAATCACAAAAATCTGCAAACAGCAAAAGCACTACTTTGGGATCTGCCTCACATATCTGCCAAGTTTTGCTGAAAGATATTAAGAAGTTTTCCAGTTGTGCTCTGGAAACGAAGCCCACCCCTCCCTTTTGAGACTAAGTCTAAATCGTTTCCATGGGAACCAGGAAAAATAAATATGCCAAAAATCTGCAAATAGCAAAAGCCACCACTTTAGGTTCTGTTTGATATATCTACCAAGTTTTGCTGAAAACTATTGAACGGTTCTTGAGTTATGCTCCGGAAACGAAGCCCATCCTTCCCTTTTGGGACTAAGTCCGAATTGTTTACATGAAAACCGGGAAAAATAAATATGCCAAAATTCTGTAAATAGCAAAAAGGCACCACTTTGGCATCTGCCTCACATATCTGCCAAGTTTTGCTGAAAGATATTAAGAAGTTTTCCAGTTGTGCTCCGGAAACGAAACCCACCCCTCCCTTTTGGGACGAAGCGGGAAAATAAAAATGCCAAAAATCTGCAAATAGCAAATGGCACCACTTAAGGTTCTGTTTGATATATCTACCAAGTTTTGTTGAGTTATGCTCTGGAAACAAAATGATTACGGACGTACTAGGCGTCTACTATATCCCCCCGCATTACATGCCAGGGGGATAAAAAACACATCAGTCACCTAACCTTGGCTTTGGTGAAAACATTTTTAGTCTCAGTCCGCACATAGCTCCAAGAATGATCACTGCAATTCAAGCAGCATTCAATGACCTGAACCAATGACTTGGGAAAATTTCACTCAAAGTTCTGGCTAAAAAGATCTCTTACCTCGGAGACGTACTGATCCTGAGCTGAAAACAGCTTCTTCTGATATGTCTCGGACCATAATAGTTACAGTGCACTGTGCAGTTATCTTCCAGGTGACATCATACACATCCACAGTGAAAGAGTATGATACGTCGCTGGGGATGCCTTTAGCCATGGTGATCATACCAGTATTTGTATCCACCCTGAACAAAGTCGAAATGTGGGTATCATACTGGGTAGCTGGTCAACACTGTGGGATGCTATTACATTGGTTTGTAAACACAACGAATACACTGAGTAATATGAGTGAGTGAGTTTAGTTTTACGCCCCACTCAGCAATATTCCAGCTATATAGCGGCGGTCTGTAAATAATTGAGTCTGGACCAGGCAATCCAGTGATCAACAGCATGAGCATTGATCTGTGCAACTGGGAACTGATGACATGTGTCAATCAAGTCAGTGAGCCTGACCACCCGATCCCGTGAGTCGCCTCTTACGACAAGCATGGGTTACTGAAGGCCAAGATTCTAACCTGGACCTTCATGGGTACTGAGTTTCAAGAATGTCCTTTGATTACTTCTGATCCTGACTGTACCATATTTATTTGACTACTGCTGTCCACTAGCTCTTTAACATATTCATAACATCTCTATTGTCATTGTGTCACGGAATGACTGTAATAGTTTCAAAAAACGCATCTGTAAACAAAGTCATGCCAATGAAATGCCAACATGTCCTTCAGTGACACAGCAACAATACAAAGTCATCAATATCCCCGGCAATGGCAAAATACTCTTCATGATTATGTCTACGAGTTATGATTATGTCAAATATTTAGATGTGTATATAGAAAAGTGGAAGGAGAGTATTGAAAGGTTTTTAAAGTTCTGCTCCAGAAAGGAGCACCAGGGATAGAAATACTTTTTTTTCTAAGTGTGCCTTAGGGCACCAGGCAAATATTTTAGGTGTGCCTTTCAGAAATCAAGTGTGCCTACATGTTTTTGGAATAAAGGACAGTAGCAAGGATGATGATCTTTTGAAATCTATTGTCCGAAAACAACAAATGTAACCAGTTTTCTGTTATCACTGATATGTCTTCTGTTTAAGATGGCTTTCTTAAGCTTCATTTGTTCAGCGTTCTCAACACTTTTAATAGCTAAGAATTGTGGGACAGGTTCACTTTTTTCAATGTATCTAACATACACAATTTCCTCTTTAATAACTGAACTATCAGTACTCCCAACACTCTAAATGAAAAAAACAACAACCAGATTTCTTTACATCAACCATCATAATTCCGATGATTTCCTGGACGAGAAAGTCAATAAATGTTTTTGCTTGTTTGTCATTTGCATAAGAGTTTTCTTTGGTGATTAAATGACTAAAGGCGTGTTATGTCTCTAAAAAATTAGACGTGCCATAAGGGCACTGAGAAATTTTTTTATCCGTGCCATTTCAATATTTACCATGCCATGGTACGCTAATATATGGGGTATTTCGAACCCTGAGCACTATCACCAATTTCAGTCTATGTCAAACTTGTTGCCATGGAAATGCCAAAAATATTTTATTCAGAAATCCAAAACTACCAAAAAGGAACCAGTACACCACCAGACCAATCTATGTGTCAAGTTTGGTGAAGAAATAGTGAACGGTTTTAGAGTTCAGCTCCGGAAAAGAGCACAACCACCAATTTCAGTCTATGTCAAACTTGTTGCCATGGAAATGCCAAAAATATTTTATTCAGAAGTCCAAAACTACCAAAAAGGAACCAGTACACCACCAGACCAATCTATGTGTCAAGTTTGGTGAAGAAATAGTTAACGGTTTTAGAGTTCAGCTCCGGAAAAGAGCACAACCACCAATTTCAGGCTAAGTCAAACTTGTTGCCATGGAAATGCCAAAAAATATTTTATTCAGAATTCCAAAACTACCAAAAGGCACCAGTACACCACCAGATCTATCTATGTGCCAAGTTTGGTGAAGAAACAGGGAACAGTTTTAGAGTTCTGCCCCGGAAAAGAGCACTACCACTAATTTCAGTCTTAGTTGAATTTGTTGCCATGGAAATGCCAAAAATATTTTATTCAGAATTCCAAGAAGAAATAGTGAACGGTTTTAGAGTTCTGCTCCCGGAAAAGACAAATGTGCACGGACGGACGGACTCCATTTTAATAACCCCCGCAAAACGTGTTGCGGGGGATAAAAAGGGAGTAAGCGAGTATTCCTTAACGCTGCATCAGCAATTTTATAGCTTTTCTCAGTGAACAGCAAAAAGTTATCTAGTGTACATCACATGAACTGATTCCCACTTACGTGAAATATTTCTTCATGTACTCTGGTCCAGTGTAGGTGAAGGTCTTGTCAACCACATCCCAGTCATCCGGATCAGTGGCGTACACGTTACCGATTTCAAGAGGGCCAAACATTCCTGAAAACAGTCACCAATGAGCTTAGTTTAGACTTCTAATCTCTCCAATACAAACGGTAAATCTGATTAACATACATTGCTTAAGGGTTTTTATATGTGTCACAACACAATGTGGGACACTATAGAAACACAGCAGAGAACACTAGCAATTTGTCTTAATTTGCGGTCAAAGTATTACCCTGTAGCCTACCCTTGTAGAAACAGACATAGACATCAATATATCACAATATGAGACACTTTAAAAACACAACACACGGAAATTTGTTTTAAGTTGCGGTCAAAGTATTTCCCTGTAGCCTACCCTTGTAGTTGTAGACAAAGATATCCTTGTGGCCTGGGCCGTGCTTGTTATCGTTGAGATCCCCAATCTCTATGGTGAGTGTGTTGGTCCCAGTCTGAGCCTTAGGATTTCCTGAGCCCCTCATGTCCCACATCACAATGGGCATGTAGTAAAACTTCTGCTGTTCACGATCAAACACCTTCTTTGTGGACACTTCGGCATTGCCCTTATTGTTGTCACCAGCTGGAAAACAGAAGAAAAAGTATTACTGTTAAGTTTTAGACACAGAGTGGTACTTTGTACATAATTGGTGGCTATTGCTGACAAATTTAAAATGTACTAACAAATGTAATGTTGAACTGTTTGGTTGAGAGAATTAGGGGGCAAGACAGAGAAACATGAAAATCAAACTTTACTTACAGGGTTTGAATAAAAGACTGAAGTCGGCGCAGGTAGGCCGGCTGTTACATGGGCAAGAATCGGACCCATCACTACACACAGGCTCTGCAAATCCAAATGGCGGCCCAAATGGGTCAGCATCCAAATCGGTGGCATTGACGACAATAACAAGTTCTGGTACAACTGCAGCATTCTCCATGACGACGGGGTGATACGGCTTTGCAAAGATGGGGAAGTTATCATTGACATCCAATACCTTCACCTCTAGAGTAGCTGTGCCGGTTTGAGCAGGATCACCTGGGATACAAAACACATCCATGAATTGAGGGCTTTAGTTAAGTAGATACTCGCATCAATCTGCATGAATAATTCTAATTCAATGATAATCCCGCCAGCCAAAGTTTTATATGTTTCCTCCCCATAAATTTCTAATTCGAACCAGCAAGCAACTTATGGATAAACATGTGCGTAGGGATATACCGTATTTCCTCTTATAAACGCCCAGGCTTATTTTTTCAACGGACTTCCAAACCCGGTGCTATATAGAGGCCCAGTGCTTATTGGAGACCTGGTGCTTATTGCTCTTACGGGGTGTAATTTATTGTTAGTGAAGTTATGACTAAATGAACCATTCCTTAATAAATCTATGTTTGGATCAAGGGAGAATACATTCATAAATAAGAGTCATCAAAGGATGACATATCCCCCCGGCCCCCACATATTTGAAAGAACAAATCATCTGACAGTTACTTAGTCCAGCTTGACTTTTTTCCATGGAAATCATGAGAAATATAACTGATAAAAATCTGTATAGCAAAAGGCAAAAGGCAAAAGTGAGAATGTCTGGCCGAAATGGTAACTCGAATCCCAGTGTGCGGGATCGAACACCAACCTGACTGCTGTCAATTCCAGCACATTGATGTGCAGGTTGTGACTTCGTCATCAAGAGACCGCAGGTCGCCCAGAACATCGCCTCAACCCGGGAGGGATGTATCTGGCTAGACTGAGAGCAACAGTGTCTCCAGGTCTGTCCATCTGACTGCGTGAGGTTGACAATTCGGCACAGTTTCGTAAGAGTGACCAACACTGATCGTGAGGTTCCCAGACTCAACAGTTATTCTAAAACAACGATGATCCAGTCGCCTAGGTACGGGTGAGAACACCGGCACTGCGATCTGGCTATCTGGGCTGTAATAAACCTCAATTTGGTGAACACCCTTGGCGCCGTAATGTAGCCTAAGGGGAGCACACGAAACTGGTAGCACGTCCCGTCGAACAATAACCGAAGGTAAATCTTGAAATCAGGGAGAGCGCGGTGTCTCCATCTTGAAGGACAGTACCTCTATTAACTTGTTCAGCTCTCAGATGAGAATGGGTCTGAACATTCCGTTCTTAATGGCAACGAGGAAATAAATGGAGTCAAACCCCACATTTTCCTGACCATTGGAAACCACCTCGCTGGTTGCCTTGCCCAGCAGAGACAAGATCTCAGCATGGAGTATTTTCGCCAACTCTCGGGTAGCCGACACTGGTGTGCGTTGCTCCGGTTTGTGGCAGAATACAGTAAACCCCTGCAGTCGGCAACATAACATTTGCCGTTACCTGGGCACCTGAGGAATTAACGAGAAGCTCGAAACAGTCCCGGGCGCCATAGGCCCATAACTGCACTCATCATTTGGCTGGCACAGCTACAATGCAGTCCCTAGCCAGATGAGAGTTGACCTCCGTCAGATACCCCTGAGTCGCCGATGAAATCACTGGCGCTCTTTCCCCTTTCCACCAGCTCCTTCAGCACAGCTGAGAGATGCGCATACAGCGTTGAGCTGTTAAGGGGAAAGAACGGCAGACTGACGGTAGAGTGTGAGGCCTTGTCCCGGATGCCTTGCTGGAAGCAGGCTTCCCTCCGGTTCGGGTATTCGACGTGGACAACACCTGAGGCAACACAGCCGCACTTGCCTCAGGGACGAACCTACCTAATGTTAAGTTCACAGTAGCGAAAAGAGCCGAAGCTCAAATTGACTTGTCCACTGTACGAGCCTGAACCCGGTTCCGAGGCACATGGGAGAAGCCTGATAAATCAAGGTATCCCAAGCACTCAGACAGACCTCGGAGCGTCGAGGTGACCAACACACCCGTGACACTCGATAGCTTCTTGGTCAAGGCGTCGATAGACATCAGGCCGTGACCTGAACTACCGGCGCTGGGTATAGGCGCCCTACCAGTACGCGAAGCCGAATTCGGTTGCTACTCTACAGGAGTTCAGAGCATCCGCGGAGCCGAAGCTCGGCGGTTCTAGACCGAACCCCGATCCCGAGACACGTAGGAGTAGCCTGATAAATCAGGGTTCCCCGACTACTCTCTAAAAGCGACTGAGCATATAGTCGAACATAGCCTTTAGCGCTATATAAATACCCATACATACATATATATATATATATATATATATAGTTTGAACCCCGGTCCTGAGACACATGGGAGTAGCCTGGCAATGCAGGGTTCCCCTGGTGTACGCGGGTAGACGCGTCGAGGTGATCGGTAGCTCCGTCACACTCAACGGCCTCTTGGCCTGGGCGTTAGATAGACATCAGGCCGAGACCTGAGCTATCAGCGCTGGGGATCTAAAGCCCAGGTCGGTGCTAGTCCGATCCCCGGTCCCGAGACACATGGGAGTAGCCTGGCAATGCAGGGTTCCCTGGTGTACACGGGTAGACATAGGAGCGTCAAGCTGATTGGCAGCCCGGAAGCTCTGTCACACTCAACAGCCTCTTGGCCTGGGTGTCGATAGACATCAGGCCGAGACCTGAGCTATCAGCGCTGGGGATCTGCGCCATACCAGGGCCAAAGCCCGGGTCGGTGCTAGTCCCCAGGTTCAGAGAGTCCAAACCCCGGTCTCGAGACCCATGGGTGTAGCCTGGCAATGCAGGGTTCCCCTGGTGTACACGGGTAGACCTAGGAGCGTGGAGGTGATCGGCAGCTCTGTCACACTCAACAGCCTCTTGGCCTGGGCGTCGATAGACATCAGGCCGAGACCTGAGCTATCAGCGCTGGGGATCTGCGCCGTACCGGGGCCAAAGTCGAGTTACTGCTAGTCCCCAGGTTCAGAGCGTCCCCTGAGCCAGAGCCGGAGCTGAAGCTCGGGTCCGATCGTCCCCGGGAGGTCGGACACTTCCCGGAGCCGGAGCTCGGGTCGGGACCTTCCCCAATTGATGCGCCGGTGCAATCTCTACCCGTAGACCGGGTACCAATCTCCTTTCGGAGTGTGGAAACCACGTCTGAGATAAGAGTGTGCACCGACGATCTCTGCTGCTGCTATAAGAAATCAATCGTTAGTGTAGCAACATTGTTCTCGGGGGAGGCGTAGGTGGGGGAATGATAAAGGGATTTCCTTAGAAACCTTTTATCAAATATTATCCCCCGCCTAAAGCAGATTAGTGAAAAAAAAAAATCTGCGTGCCTTAAAGAATGCGTGTGAGGCACAGAAACCCAGACAAAAAACACAACCTCGGCAACTATGAGCCACGTTGTGTGTAAACGTATGAAATGTGTACATGTCTAACATAACACAACATAATGTAACAGGAATATTGACGCAAGGGCGCTTATTATGAACATCCTTGATAGTCGTGAGCGTCCTCGGCTAAACACTGGAGGCACACCTTATGACCATCCTGTGGCGGTAGTGTGCACGGCACAACGCACAGGGCTTAAACTGCAACAAACAGAACCACGCCAGTGTTACTAGCAGGAACTGTGAAGCAGCAAACATATAAACACAAGTAAATAGCAATAAATAAAACGCACGGGCGATATTTACATGCTACAAGCTACAGCCATTTAAATACTAAACATACAATGCAAAGCAGAAAAAAGGCTAGCCGCACCTGCATGTACATACTAGTGAGTAAAGTTGAGTGATACAAAACGAACACTATCAAAATTACTCAACAACGACTTACCACAAATTCGCTGAAAAGGAAGACAATTTAGGCAAGCCTACCATATAATATGCAAACATAATATATGAACTCCCTACTACAAGCTACCAAGAACATGTAGCAAGGAAACCTTCGATCTCGCGGTCCGCCATTTTGCCTGCCATCAAGGCTGGAAAACAGAGAACCCACAGCAAAGTTGCAACAAAAGATATATGAGAATATCAACATATGAAGTCCATCTAACGCCCGTGCGTAAAGAAAGGAACCATACATACAGATTGAGACTCTTTTACACTCATCGTATTGGTAGGAGAGCAAACTCGAAACGAACACCATGCACATCTATTCAACAGAACCACAGCATGAAAAGGGAGGTACGAGGTAGACGGCGAGAGTTACCAGCTCTTGGCTGTAAGGGGTCCGGTGGGGCCCTGTAGGGGTGGTCTCACAAGAAAAAACGAGTTTTTTGTTTTGTAAATATTTATTGAAAAATATAGTTACAACTGTTGTAGGACATTTTAATGCTTATATGTACCCCAAGAAGGACTTCTTCTGAAAAAGAACTGTAAATAGCAAAAGGCACCACTTCAAGATCTGTCTCATATATCTGCCAATTTCTGATGAAAGATATTGAACGGTTTTCAAGTTGTGCTCTGGAAACGAAACCCACCCCTCCCTGTTGGGACTAAGTCCGAATTGTTTCCATGGAAACTGGGGAAAATAAAAAATGCCAAAAATCTGCAAATAGCAAAAGGCACCACTGAAGGATCTGTTTGATATATCTACCAAGTTTTGTTGAAAAATATTGAACGGTTTTTGAGATATGCTCGGGAAACGAAACCCACCCCTCCCTTTTAAGTCCAAATCGTTTACATGGAAACTGAGTAAAATAAAAATACCAAAGATCTGTAAAGCAAAAAGCACCACTTAAGGTTCTGTTTGAAATATCTACCAATTTTTGTTGAAAAATAGTGAACGTTTTTTGAGTTATGCTCTGGAAACAAAATGATTACAGACGGACGGACAGACGTACGAGGCGTCGACTATATCCCCCCGCATTACATGCCGGGGGGATAAAAACGTACCCGTACCTTATTAGAGGCCTGGCGTTGATTTCTTAAACTGCTGCTTCACCCGCGGCGCTTATTAGAGGAAATACGGTAATACAATTGAGAACTCCTTGTGAAATGGTTTACCTTTATCAATGGCCAGTATGAAGACTTTGTGAAAGCTTAGCTTCTCCCGGTCCATCATGTTTCTGATTGTCACGTTTCCAAGCTGGTTGATGGCAAAGATTTTATCTGGATCAGTCTTCCGGTCCACCGAGTACCTATAATGGAGGAGACGAGTGAGTATATACACAACAAGTCACAGCTTACTACAACACAGCATTACAACATGTCACACCATACAGACAACACTGGATGCTGAGGTTAGCCTGAGTTCGAGAGTTTCGAGATGATTTGAATTGAGTCAATTTCCAACATGGTTGAGAATTAAGGAGCCTTATATCTTGAACTTTCACCAGCAACGGTATCTCTCATCCTGTTAATACTGCAACAAACTTACTCGAAATCAGCATTGATGCCACTATCTTTATCGTCAGCGGAGAAGTGTGCGAGGAATGTTCCCACAGCAGCATCTTCATACTCTTCCACAGAAATCCTGGGTCTTTCAAACTCAGGGGCGTTATCATTGAAGTCCTCAACAGTCACCTCTACATGTGTTGTGGCGGTGTGACTTGGATCGGGGTCCTGGACCACTACAGTCAGGTTGAAGAAACGCTGGTCGGGATTCTCATAGTCGACAGCCTGAAGAGTAATGATTGGTTGAGGTACACTGTTGGTTATCAAACCATCCACAAGCAACTCGATCAGCAAGGTTTTCGGATACCACTCATTAACTCTACATAAGAACCAAGACGTTTTTGTCTTGTTCCTTAATAAATAATTTATAAGTGAGTGAGTTCAGGTTTACGCTGCACTCAGCAATATTCCAGGTATATGGTGGCAGTCTGTAAATAATCAAGTCTAGACCACACAATCCAGTGATCAACAGCATGAGCATCGACCTACGCAACTGGGATACGGCGACATGTGTCAACCAAGTCAGCAACCCTGACCATCCGGTCCATTAGCCATCTCTTACAAGAAGCATGGGTTGCTGAAGATCAATTCTAACCCAGATCTTCAGGGTTAAATAATTTATAAACTGCCGATAGAAATGAGAACCCGAGCACTCTGGGTACAATGACATCCAATCAACAAAGCCACCAGAGGTCAGAACACCCAATCCACTTGCACATTCAGGATTAATTCTATCCTTAAATACATACCCTGAATACAACAATGCTGCCCTCATTATTCACACCCTCCACGTCGAAAAAAGAAATGAAGTTGTTCAATCTGTAATCAAGACGAGCATTTTCTCCAATATCATTGTCCGTAGCTCGAACTCTTGCAATAGCTCCTGATGTCTGCGCTTCGGACATTGTCACCCTGTAGAGAGGCTTCTCAAACACTGGGATTTGATCGTTCTTGTCGTCCAGATTGATGGTGACTTGTTTTTCTATTGACTGAGCTACCACACCGCGGTCGGAGGCCTTCACCTTCACTGTGTATGTGGGAGTGGTCTCTCGGTCCAAGCCGGATGAGTTGGTGCTAGTTTCTATCAGACCTGAGTTTTCTCTGATCTGGAATTTCATATCGGATCCATCTGATGGACCTTCAACTATTTCGTACCTCACAGTACCGTTGATGCCCTCATCATAATCAATGGCCACCACAGTCATAACAGAACTCCCTGAAATCAAACAAACAATACATTCTAGGATGTGACTACTCTTACCAATATTTCCCATTCCAGTTGAATCAGACACTGCACTCTGCAATATTCCAGCTAAATGACAGTAGTTTGTAAATAATTAAGTCTGGACCAGACAATCCAATGATTGACATAATGGACATCAATCTGCACAACTGTGATATGATGATAAGTATCAATTAAGTCTGCCCACCCAATCACACTGCTGGCCTCATACATGCATGGGTTGCTGAAGATCAATTCTAACCCAGATTTCACAGAGTAGGGAAATTAGAAACACCCTTATTCTTATCTTGGCCTTTGCAGTAAATAACTGTTTCTAGCACCATATTGTGCTCATTAACTCCACCAGAAAAATGTCACTTACCTCGATCAGAGTGCTCCATCACACTTCCTTCTAATTTAGAGATGAAAAATGGCTTGTTATCATTGATGTCTATTGGTTTTACTTGAACAGATGCAAATCCGATCTGAGGTTGGTCAAGGTCACCTGATCCTGGTAAAGGGTCAGGCTCATCTTGGGCACGGATGTTGAATTGGTAGTTTGGTCTCCCATTGGGCAGATCCCTGTCCAAGCTGGTTAGAAGGTACAGACGGCCTGTCTCGGGTTCAATTTCAAAGTACTTATTTGGTGCTGAGGTGCCAAACCCAAGCAGCGAGTAACGGATCTGCGTCGGCCGATCAATGTCTGCATCTGTGGCATTCACCTTTTTAAAAAAAAAAAAAAGATGGTCAAACTTGAGTTAATGGGAGCATGCATAAGTTTCACTTACATATGTTTGTATTCACAAAGCAAATAAGTAACATTGAACTTTGTGTGATATACAGTTCCCATTTGTCTCCTTGCCTGGAGAGTCACTCAATTCATTGGTTAAAAACAGATTCTACACAGCAAAGTGCAAATACAAGCAGACAATGAAAAAGCATCATGCTTAAAGGATCAGACTTGTGTTTTTTTGGTTCAAATCCATCTTGAAACACCCTGAATAATGGTCCAACAGGAAAGACAACATTGTTGTGTTCGCTGACCTCATGTCCAAAAAACCATCAATCTGATTTTTGTGTCTTATTTAAAGAAATCAAACAATTTTTTTAAAGTATACCAGTACCCATTAAAGGGTGATATGGAAGTATTGACAAGTAGATAATACCATTCTTTAATTCCGTCAGGGAATTTGACAAGCTTAACAAGCTGTAAAGCATCCAATCACCAACTTCCTTACTTCAATATGTATTGTAGTTAACCAATGAGGGGACAGGAAACAGCCTTCAGTGCTGGTTCCAAGGAATATTGACATCATACATGAGAAACATTACAAACATCAGCCAGCAATTACAAGTCCTTGTTTATAATGAGAACAGGTGCTCACCTGCACTAAGAACCTCTTGTTGGTGGCAGTGATCGATGTATCCTCCTCCACAACATCAGTGATGATATATGGGTCAATGACAAACACAGGGCTGTTATCATTGGCGTCGGACACGTGGATATTAACTCGAGTGGTGTTCTTGTAAATCCCATCATCTACTTCCAGGGTGAGGTCATAAAGCTGGAAAACAGTGAGCACAGTGTAATGTTGTTTTAAACAATATTTTAGTTTCACCACTGCCACTTAAACAAAAGGAGCAAATCACATAGCAAAGAAGTTTAATCTATGTTCATGTCTTTCATAAAATTCGTACATATCAAAGTCAAATGTTCGAAATGGCAAACATACTTGTTTTTTTAAAGTGAGTGAGTATGGTGTTACGCTGCTTTTTTAGCAATATTCCAGCAATATCACGGCGGGAGATACCAGAAACGGGCTTCACACATTGTACCCATGTGGGGAATCAAACCCTGGTCTTCAGCGTGACGAGCAGACGGTTTAACCACTAGGCTACCCCACCGCCACTGTTTTTTATAAGAAATAAGAACATTGTTTTGAAATATCATCAAACTCACATGTCGTTCTGTTTCATAGTCAAGCTGTCTCCCAACATAGATGATGCCTGTTTTACTCTGCACACCAAATGCACCCCGTTCATTCCCATTTATGATTGTGTACGTTAAGACAGCGGCTGTAAGCAGATGGATAGAAGAGGAACATAAATTAATATGAATTTTCTACCTCATCAAAAATTTCAACGTAATTAATGATCATAATGTTTTTTAGCAAATCTCATAAAAAGAAACAAACCAAAAGTTTGTTCTTGGTATGTAACTGACTTCATACATGCTGTTAACCAAGGTATTCATATCACAATTTTATCAGAATTCAGTTAACAACTTTTAGAAAAAGCATAACAGTGGTAATCCAAGGAAAGTTTGAATTCAGTCTCCTTACATTGTAAAAAGATGACGTCCCAAACTGTAAATGTTTGACTGATGATGGCCGAAACATAACGGCATAAGCTAATGAGACTTTCAATTATGTGAGATAGAAATGTGGTTTCCTTGCTGTTTGGGGCTTAAACCCACAAACATCATGTATCAAACAAGGAAGGAGTGTTTTAGTCTCACCGTCGTCAGGATCTCTGGCACTGACAGTGAGGACATGCTGCTGAACTGGAGCATCCTCTCTCACAGACGCGTTGTAGAAGGCCTTTACGAAGTAGGGACTGTTGTCGTTCATGTCGGTGATACGGACTTGTACTGGGACAGTAGCTGAAAAAACAAAACATCCTTAATTGCACAAGTCCTTAATCAGCATTCACACAAACACCTATTATGTCGTTGTGGACACTCTGAGTGAGTGAGTGAGTCAGCAATATTCCAGCTATATGGTGGCGGTCTGTAAATAATCAAGTCTGGACCAGACAATCCAGTGATCAACAGCATAAGCATTGGGATGCGATGACATGTGTCAACCACGTCAGCGAGCCTGACCACCAGATACTGTTAGTCACCTCTTATGACAAGCATGGGTTACTGAAGATCAACTCTAATCCGGATATCCATGGGTCGTGGACACTCTGAAAATGTCAAGAGCTAAAAAAAGTTTTCAAATCGGTATTGACCCTGCTTCTCAGGGAAAGTTTGTTAGTCTGTTACTTCAAACCCTACTCCGTTATATTTAGCAATATATCTGACAATAATGGAGTAAGGACCAGATAATGGAATCCTGACCTCACGACCATCAAACTACACATTTTGGATACTATTACATGGATCAAGTTGACCACCTGATGCAGTTAATCATCTCTCACTGCAAATATGGGATGTGGATGTTAATATTCTATAAAATAAAGTACAAGGACCAGTAGGACTCACCTGTGTTTGGCTGCCCTTGAATGTGTCCAGGGCGGGAGGATTCTACACCATCATAAACCTTAACATCAACAAACAGTTGACTGTTTTCTTCTCGATCAAAGCTGTGTGTGGATGTCAGAACTGCAGTGTTGTCGTCAATCTTGCGGATGGCAAACTTGTCAGAGATGTTTTCTTTTGGAACAATCTCAAAGGTGAGCTAAAACAAAATATCATCAAGTTAAAAAAGGAGTTTCCAGTAAGACTTCAGGGTTGCATTAGATGAATGAGGTCTCAATCATTGTTGCAATATGCTAACCTTGTTACTATACACTTTAGTAATTTGGTGGTTTCACTAATATTATTACAATATTTGAACCTTACTAAGGTCTCTTTAATATTACAACAATGTCTTAGCCTTACTCAATTTTCTTTAATATTATAACAATATCTAAGCCTTACAAAAGTCTCTTTAATATTATAACAATATCTAAGCCTTACAAAAGTCTCTTTAATATTATAACAACATCTAAGCCTTACTCAAGTTTCTTTAATGATTAAGCAACATCACTTCCTCTAACTTCAAGAAAAATGTTTTAATGTATTTCCAAACTTACAAAATTGTTGGGATACGTTGGATCATCGTCATAAGCTTTTATCTCAATGACAGTCTGTCCTGGGGGTGAATTTTCTGGAATACTTCCTGGGTAGAATCCTGTTGAGGAATCCAAACCTCGGAAATATGGAACCTTATTGTTTGTATCTCTTAGTTCCACAACAGGATGTATTTCAGATGACAGAGGTATTGAACCACGATTCTGAGAAAGGAAAAACAATGCTTTTCATTTATAGTACACAAGTCATACATACTCCAAAATATCTTTGGTGAAATCATTGCACCTTGTTCTACAGCACGCACACACGCACACAAATTACGACTCTTGGAACATGAATATTTAGGAGTGAGTGAGTGAGTGAGTTTAGTTTCACGCTGCAATTAGCAATATTTCAGCAATATCACGACGGGGGACACCAGAAATGGGCCTCAAACATTGTGCCTATGTGGGGAATCAAACCCAGGTCTTCAGCGTGACAGGCCAACACCTTAACCACTAGACTACCCCACTGCCCCTATTGAGGACTGATTGACTGACTGACTGAGTTTGGTTTTACGCCGCTTTTAGCAATATTCCAGCAACATTACGGCGGGGGACATCAGAAATGGGCTTCACACACTGTACCCATCCCTATTGAGGACACAGCAAACGTGACTAAACATGATAGAGTGTCAACAACTGTTAACATCACAGAATATTAACTCCAGAATTTGTTCGTTTTGACTGCAATTTGCTGGACATTCTTGCTGGGTTTTTAAAAACTATATCAGAACCTAAATCAAATAAGCACAGGTTGAGGACAAAGTGACTATTATGTCAAGGTTATTTGGTCCTCTTAACATCATCTCAAACCAAATCAAATCATGTAGATTAATCTTACAGGTATGACTTCTCTATGACTTGTCTCAGTTTCACACACGGCACAAAAGACTGAGACTGTGGATCAGTCGTTCTGAATTCGACACGAAAACTCTTGAAGCAATGAAACTACACTCATATATAACAGGGATTCTACTTACAGACACCCGAAGACGCAGCTCATATCGGTTCTTGACATTGAAATCCATGGTAGTGGTGAACACAGTGAGGTTGACTGTGCCGCCGCCTGAGTTGATACCGAACGGTGGGAGAGACTGTACTGGGCTGCCGTCGGCAGCAATCAAGGAGAAGGACACAGTAGGGTCATCCACATTGGAAGTGGCACTGAAGGATGCGATGACATGGCGTGGCTCGGCAGTTTCGTCCACCATATAGGGAGTAGCATCATAGTCCGCACGGTTCCAAGTGGGAGGCTGACTAGTGAGGTCTATGACGCGTACCCTCACGTCAACAGTGCTGTTCAAAGGTGGAGACCCTTTGTCCTTTGCCATGACTTTCAGGTCATATTGATTTTTCTGAAAAAGTCATAATGATATGGATGATCATTTTCGGACTCTAAATTTTAGCTGACCAATACATCAATGATGTAACTGAAATATAGAAGATAAGAGGGCAGGCCCCAATAACCATGCAATATATGCGCAAGTTCCATAATTGAAGACAAACTACTATAATCTGATGTTTAGGTTCATTCACTTCTCACTACTCAGTGGAGACAATCTTAGCATTGAAAAACAGAAAAAAGTGCGCTAATTTCAATGATCAATGAATTTTGCTGTCCGGTGTTTACAACCAGTTTCGTGCACAATAGTTCAGCATTTTTTAAAACCAACTTACTACTAGTGAAACTTATTCCTGTAAGAACTTATCAAACAATTCAAACCCTTTATTACTTCTTGTAACTGACTTATTTAGGTTTTCTTCACACAGAATGCAGAATATGTGTAATCTTGAGAAAAAACAGGTCAAAAAGATTACTCTGAACCTGAGCAGTAACAACAGGCCTTATGACCGAAGGCCAGATTAACATCAGTTACAGACAAGATTGCTTTACTCCAAATAACAACAGATACATACTACTCCCAATGTCTTGTTCAGGGCGATAATGCCAGCCTCTTTGTCTATTTTGAAAACACCACCATCACTGTCCACCATGAAATATTCAATTGCTGCATTTATTCCCAGGTCATCGTCATTAGCTCTGACGGTCAAGATAGATCTATTGACTTCCAGGGTTTGACTGATTGTTGCAGTGTAGCTTGTAAGGTCGAAGACGGGTTTGTTGTCATTGATGTCTCCAATGCTGATGGTGAAGGTACAGTAACCGTCCAGTGGTGGACGACCCTGGTCAACGCCTCTGATTGTCACAGTATAGGACGACACTGCTTCACGATCAAAAGTGATAGCACTTCTGACATTCCCTGAGTCTTCATCTACTTGAAAGTTTACTGTAGGGTTTACAGTTGGTCTCAGAATGGAGTATGTGACTCTGCCATTTTCTCCTCTGTCGTTGTCTTGTGCTTGAACCTAGATGAGAGTAAAAATACTTCAGGCATGACTGACGTGGGTCTGAGATTACAAGTCCTCAAGTATGTTAGGGTTTCTGCAATAGTATCTGAGCTACGGACCTACATTCTTCTTTAATATTAGGGTCATTACAAGGACAGGGATGGAAACCGAAAAATCTGTTTTCAACTAAAATCTTAATATTGTGTCATCAAATTGGGGGTTCGAATTTATCAAATTTGAAATAAAATCCGCGGAAATCTGCGTAAAAATGCCATCCATGCACGGAAAACATGGATTTTCATCCGTTATTCCCAACATTTGAGAATATCTCAGCAGCTGTAACAAAACTCATTACAACTAGTAATCAAGATAAAACCATTCCAGCCTACCCGTATAACATCTGTATTTTCAGGTTTCCCTTCAAGAATGGTAGCATTATTGTAGGTGGAGCATTGTGGGAAGGACGGCTTGTGTGTGTTGATGTCCACGATCTCCACATTCAGGTAGGCTTCACTGGACAGGATTGGTGAACCACCGCAGCAGCTACCATCATCGTAAGCAGTGATGTTCAAGATGTACTCGTCAACATCAGCAGGCACAGTTTGTGACAGGGTGATAAGGCCCGACGCTGGCAAGATCCTGAAGATCTTGAAGTCTGTATTTCGTGCTAGAAGGTCAAAGAGTTAGCAAATAAGCAAGAAAGCCAGAAAAGGAACTATTCTGTCCACACATAGTCTAACATACCTTTAACATTGCACAACTTTCTCATAAGAAGGATTGGGGGGGTTTCTCAACTGGGAAATAACGATGCCATTTTGAACAGAAGGGTAAAGGTTCACTGTCCAGGAAAGCTATTAATTTCACACAGCAAATAATGGTGGTAGGTTTTGTAAGTTCAACAAAGGTTTGAAAGCCGAGGTAATGATTTCTGTCTCATTAATACTACGTGTTAACATATGAATTCTTGCAGAAGAACCTACGAGAGAAGTAGAACTCTACGGAGTCCTTGTCCAAATCGATGGCTTGGATGACAGTGACAGCATCTCCTACTTTGGCATCTTCACGTACATCTATCTTCTGGTTTTCAAGACTCATCTCTGGTGGTTCATCATTGACATTGGTCATGAACACTTGGACACTAGTTGTCCCACTATTTGGTGGTGACCCCTTATCTGTAGCAGTCACTGTGAAGCTGTAAACGTGGCCTGGCAACGATCATAGTCCAAGCGTCTGTGGGCAAAAAAATCAGAAATGTGGAAAGTTCAAAATGGCAAGTAATCAAATAAATCCAAGATTCCATGTCTCATTTACCTCATTTTACTTGTGTAATTCTGGGTCCCAATTTCACAAAGTATTCACAGTGTTTTGAACGTTCCGATTAAATTACTTCAGGAATGGAGCCAAACCGTAACTTTGTGCCCAGAATAGTACCCTAACTAAAGAAGACTTGCAACTTGTAACGTTATAGCTACTTTTTTCATATTCCTTTTATAATTGTAATTCCTGTTTTAAAAGCTTCATCTATTTGGTCAAATGAACTGTAGGAATAATGAATTGTCTGCCTTACACCATATGGATAAAAGGGCTAGAGGAGATCCGCTTTAGAACTTCCAACAAGTCTACTCACTGCTTCACTTTGATGACACCGACATACTCCATGCCACCAACACCAGGACCTGTTCTGTTCTCCGTCACCACGTAGAAATGGTCATGATTGATGGAATATACCACTTCAGCATTGGTCCCTGAGTCATCATCAACTGCCTTCACTAGAAACAAAATATAACCATTTACCCAGAATTCAATAGAACTGCCCTTGGGGGCGAATTGGGAATTGTTTATACAACTTTTCAATATTTCATATTTTCATAAATTCAGAAGTTCTTTAACAATGAATTCAAGACTTATATTCATGTTGTTTGGTTCTCAAATGTTTGGGGCATTGGTGTAGTCTAGTGGTCTAAGCGTTTGCTCATCATGCCAAAGACTAGGGTTTGATTCCTCACATGGATACAATGTGTGAAGCCCATGTCTGGTATCCCCCGCCATGATATTGCGGGAATACTGATAAAGCGAAGTAAAACCATACTCACTCACTCAAATGCGAATCATTTCACATTTAATCACTGCCTTAGAATACTGATTACAGGAACCACAAACCTTCCAGTACTGTCATATTTATGGGTATATCTTCAGGAAACCTGGCAGAATACCGGGACAGCTCAAAGATTGGTGCATTGTCGTTGTCATCAAGGACTTCAATGAACAACTGCAAAAGGGAATACATACATTCTACTTATTACAAAAACAAACACAACAACAAAGACAAATATAACCCTAGTTCACCTTAACTATCTTGACTATTCTCAACATTGTAGAAATATGTAATTTTTAGAGTAAAATTGATATTTTATACTTATCCTGACTCATGCTCTTTTGCTTGTCTTCTTCTTCTTGCGAACATAGTGGAACACTTGTATCTCCTTAATTGAAGCTCCCTTCAATGTAAAATCACTAATTAGTACTCACCAAGAGTTGCCTCCCTTTGCCCCTGCGCGGGAAAGGCGGCGCCACCCTCTGGCCTCATGCTTCACTCTCTCCTGATATAGCGAGCCCAACACTTGAATTTACAGGGAAATCCAAAGTGTTATGTGGGGAGGATGGGAGGGCTTACCTCATGAGTCAGGATAAGTATAAAATATCAATTTTACTCTAAAAATTACATATTTTTCCTTATCCTGACTCATGCACTTTAGCTTGTAGAATCCTACGGAATCGGAGGTGGGAAAGAACAGAATACTTTGGATTTATAAAATTAATTAGTGATTTATATATATATAACTGTAATAACCCCCTAACGGGAACTTCATAATGGCACTGACTTAGGATAATTCCTCTACTATAAACCATAAGTTTATACATTGCCATAGATGGGGTATTACAATAATAATATACTATGATAATAGCAATAAAGATATAAAAGCGACTCCGACAAGGAGAAGCTATCCAACTGAACATAATCATCAGTACAAGCTTAAGGCTGAGTAGACTTAAGCTAAGCATATAAATAGCCCTAAAACTCCGTAGAGTTAGAAGCTAGATAATACTGGTATGAAATATACATAATAATCTCGTAAGACTATGTGTTAACGTCTACGAGGGACTGTCAACTGCTGTGCAAGGATCATGGGACCGAAATGGTGAATACCTGAGACGTCCTCGGTGGTGATATCTCTCAGATAGTGATTAGCAAACCCCATGTCGGATTTCCAAAAGCAGCCTTCCATGATGGTATTTAATGAACAGTTACCATGTAGAGCGAGTGTGGAAGCCAATGCCCTGATCTCATGCGGATTTGATGCTCTTGGAGGGTCGAGTCCTGCAGCCTTGTAGGTCCGAAGTATGACAGTTCTTATCCATATAGATATGGTGGTACGAGAGACTTCTGTCTGAGTTGTTGCCGATAAGGGGATGAATAATCGTTTGAGAAGTCGTCGCCTTGTTTTGGAACGTCGTAAATAGATTTTGAGAGCTCTGACTGGGCATAGAGATAAGTACAGTGTATCTTGAGATCCGAGAATAGAGGAGAGTGCAGGAATATGGAATAATCTGTCTGGTTGACCTGGCAATTGATTTTTGGGGTTGAAATCCCATCTTAATCCCAGGTGCACTGTGTTTTGATTGTCATCAAACTGTATCCTCTCATAATCTAGAGCGTGAATTTCTGACATCCTGGCTGCCGTCGCTAGAGATAACAGGAATAATGTTTTCTGTGAGAGAAATTCAAAGGTTGTCGATTCCAACGGTTCATAAGCCTCACTTGTGAGGTGTTGGAGCACTATATTCAGATCCCAAGCTGGGGCGTGGAACTTCCGTTTCTGATCTTCCAATCGGAAAGCACGTAGTAAGGCCAGTAACTCTGGCGTCTTGGTTAGCTTGACACCCGTTCTCATAGTTATCACAGAACTAAGCGCGGCAAGATATGTTGACAGTGTCGAGCCTTTTAAATGTTTGTTTTGGAGTAGGTAACACAAATAATCTGCCACTTGTGGATGTGTAGCATTTCTCCGCTGTAAATCCCTTATTTGCTGCGTAATTTTCGAAACTGTGCCACTTGTCGTCGTACAAGTTACGTGTAGAATAGCGTAAGGCAAGCGTGACTGCTTTTGCCGCTCTGGTTGAATACCCTCTCTTGTTTAAACACATTTTAATACAGTCCATACGTGAAGTTGGAATACTTCTGGGTTTCCGTGCACCTGTTTGGTGTGTGGATGTACTAATAGATTCGAGCGCTTTGGTAGCTCTAGTGTTGGTTGTCCGATTTCTTGAATTAAAATGGGAAACCACGTTCTGGCTGGCCAGTAGGGCGCGACCAAAGTGAGTTGGAGGCTCTGTGTTTGTCTGATTTTCTGTAACACTTGAGGGATTATCGCTGGCGGCGGAAACGCGTACGCATTGAGGCCTTCCCAGGATATGCTTAGAGCGTCCGTTGCCCATGCTTGTGGGTCCGGGACTGGTGATACGAATGTCCGTAGCTGATTGTTGAAGCGAGTGGCGAATAGATCTACTAGCGGAGCTCCTATTTGCTTGATAATCTGTGCAAAAATTTCTGTATGGAGCATCCATTCTGTCGGTGATGGTAGATGTGGCCGAGAGAGTGCGTCTGCTAGTACATTCTTGGCTCCGGGAATGTGACATGCTCTGACATGTAAGTTGAGATCGTCGATTAGATCGAACAGTTGAAAGCATAAAGTCAATAGGTTCAGTGATCTCGTTGAGCCTTGTTTGTTCACATAAAACGCCACTGTCGAGTTGTCGGTATGAATCATCAGATGCGTCTTTTGTAGAATGGTGCTCCAATGAAGTATGGCGTTGATTACCGCTTTCATCTCTAACATGTTTATATGGAGCTTGCTTTCTTGCTGTTTATTTCCATAACCCTGAAGCCGTCCGGTTGGCGAGATGAGCTCCCCAACCCTGGAGCGACGCGTCTACATATAGATGGGTTTTGAATTCCGGCTCTGTTAAACAAATGCCTTCGCAGACATTCGACCTCCTGGTCCACCATAGTAGATGAGGTCTGAGGTGTTTCGGTAGACTGAATGGTTGTAGGTCGTCGAGATGAGCATTGATGATGACCTGTAACGGACGTAACTGTAGTCTGCCTCTGACTGTCATGTCTTGGGCTGACATGAGGAGACCCAACAGGCTCTGCCAATGTCGTAGTGGTAACGGAGAGAGTAGGGCTAGAGGAATGGTCTGTTGGATCTTGAGCCATCGGTCTTCTGGTACGACGATACGGTTGAGAGTCGTGATAAATCGAATGCCTAGAAATTGCAGATCTTGCGAGGGTACTAGGTCCGACTTGAGTAAGTTTACTAACCATCCTAGCTGTTAGTAGCTTTATGATGTAGTTTAACTGTAGTTTGAGACGCTGTGGATCTTGATCTACTTGTATCCCGTCGTCGAGGTAGAACGCACTGCGTAGCCCTAGACGATGTAGATAGGTGACGATAGGTCTCTCAAGTTATTCTTGTGAATAACCAGGGGGCCGATGATATTCCGAATGGGAGTACTTTCCATTGGTAATGCAGCCCGTCTAGTGTAAATCGTAGGTATTTCCTGGATTCGGGATGTATCGGGATGTGTAGATATGCGTCTTGCAGATCTATACTGGCCATGTAATCCATGGGACGAATTAACTGCCGTAATTGAGGTAGATGTATCATGCGAAACGTTGGCGGTTTGCGTACATAATCTCTGTTGAATATGCTCATGTTGTAAATGAGTCTGTATTTCTCCTTGGAGTTTTTCTTGGGTACTAGGAAAACTGGGGAGTAGAAGCCTGGTTCGACGTTTACTTGATCTAGTACTTCTATGGCCTGCTTTGTTACGAGAGATGTAACAGCCTCTCTTAACTTTGGTAGTTGTTGTGCCTGGAAGTCGAACTTGTGAGGGTTGACTGTCAGCGGGAGGCGTGGCCTGTAGTGGGATACGATATCCATGTTGAAGAATGTTGGAGACATAAGGGTCTTGTAACATTCCCCAGTTCTCCCAGTGCAGTTGAAGGCGTCCACCCACTTGTGACGGTTGTACTGGAACGGCTGGGGGTGGAAGACTCCAGTCGTTCCGAACCTGTCTTTCATCGTTTATAGTTGCGGGAACCTCTGGGTGCCCTGCCTCTTCCTGATCCTCCTCTGTAGTTGCCATATGGGCGACGAAAAGAATCTTTTCCCCTGGAGCTGGCCATCTTCCTATCCCGTGCTCTCTGTAATCCAGTGAATTTAGATTTCCCTGAATATCTTTGTGAAGTCTGCCTGATGAGGCTGGCTAGCGTGTCCATCGACTTTATCATAAGGACTTCTCTAGAATCCTTAGTGACTTCCTTGGAGACTTTCTCTATTCCTCCGTCAAAGATGGATGGTGAGGACCACGGGGGCTGTATAGAGTGGAGCTGTAAACTGCTCACCCCAGCTGCAGGTAGCGAGGAGGCCTTGACGACGAGCTAAGGTTAGCGCTGCTGAGACTGATGTGAGATGATCCGTTAGGAACTGCTGGTCCTTCTTTTGCATCAGTAGGGCCGAGTAGATCATCCTATCATCTTCAGAAGTCGTGACACGAAATCTGGTGATAAGAGTCTCATTGATCGTTCTAGATGGGGTCCATATTATGAGTTGAAAACTTCTTAGCGTGAAAGTGCGGTAGGTGTGGCGTTTGAACTTTCGTGGCTTTATGGAAGGCTGTGTCCAAATTCTGTGGCACCGCAGCAATCGGGTCGATCGGAGGTAAGGTGATGGCGTCTGCATCGTCCTCCTTCATCAGGTAAGTATGCGCCGAGTTACCACTCTTGGAAGGTGAAGAAAGGTCTAGGTTGTTAACCATCCAATAACGTATCTCAGCGTCTGAGAAAATGATGCCTCCATCATCTTCTACCACGGGATCGCTGATAAGAGGTTGATGCTCTTCAGATGGTGGACTATGTGCTTCTACCACTGTACAGAGTGACGTTAAAGGAGACCTGACTGTGGACTTCTGTGAAGACTTGTGTGGTGACCTGCGAGGAGATCGACGTGGTGATGTATGAGATCGGCGCGGTGAACGGCGAGGTGATCGGCATGGAGAATGGCGAGGGGATCGTCTTGGTGAACGTCCTGACGATCTGCATCTAAAGGTTGACCTTCGCGAGAACTGTGAGGTGAATGTTGATAGCTTCGCGAAGCTCTTGTGGAATCCCTCGATGTCCTTCTGGACGAAGATGATTTGGAGCCTGATAATGGTGCCCTGATAATGGTGCCCTGATAATGGTGAAGCTTCCTCTGCGTCTGGTCCTGGGGAACGACGACTTGACCTTCGCGAAGGCTTGCGTGAAGTCTGGTGGTCCGAGTCCGCATCTAAGGATGAAGCCGAGGTAGGTGATGATCTATCCTGCCTTCGCGAAGGCCTTCGCGAAGGCTGTACATCTGGGTCCTTCGTCGAGGTGGTCTGTGACTTCCTTCGCGAAGGTGGCTTCGTCGTGGCCGCTACGTTGACGGGGGGTCCCTCTGGGGTGTCGTCTACGTTGGAGCCTTCGCGAAGGCTCAGGTCCTGGGCTGGTTGTCTCTCCAGTCTGTAGTGGTCCTCCATCATCACCATGATTTGCCGCATCAGGTCATCTGGGACGGTCTGCGACGATGTAGTCGGTGCCCTCTCTGCGATGTTAGCGACGGGGCCCTCAGGGAGATCGTCCGACATCGGTGTAGACACATCAGGCTGCATGGCGATCTGTGCTGACGTCACTGTTGCCGACACCGGTGGTCTCTTGTGGCGTAGGTCGGGGATGATGATCGGCTGATCATCGTAGAGGCCCAGTTCAGCGGCTGGAACAATCTCGGCTGAGAAGGTTCTTGACGACTTCGTAGACTTTCCCTTGGAGGTAGACGCTGCCCTGGGGGTACGGAGTCTGCGTTGAGTAGATGTCGAGGCCCTCTTAGACTTTGGCTGCGATGACGGGATGTCTGGGGAAGCAGGACGCTTCTTGGAGGCGGCGGACTGCATCCCACGCCCCTCCTCCGAGGGAAACTCTAGCGGAACACCAGAAGGGAGGGGGTCGACCGACAGAAGCTGACTGGCTAGGGGTTCCGATGTATCGGCCATGTCTAACCCTTGTTTGCGTGACCTATCTGCTGCACGTCTCAAGACGCAAAGATGATATTTATTAAAAGCAGAATTAGATAGACTGCAACGTGAATCAAACGCACAAGGCGTAGTACAGCTAGGGCATATTACATGCGGGTCAGCCGCAGAAAAACGTAATCTACAAATAGTACAGATTTTCATCAACGTAAACTAGCTGAACAATCACGAAATCCCGTGAATAAACAGAAGAAATACGAATAATTATCAATACATATTAATGAAGGATACTAGCTACACCTCTATAGTAACCTATAGGAGAGGTAACTAACTAAGAATAACCAAAGGATTTAGTGTGTAAGGAGACACAGGCGCTCTCACATCCTGCTCACTGGGCGAAGAAGGAGAGAGTGAAGCATGAGGCCAGAGGGTGGCGCCGCCTTTCACGCGCAGGGGCAAAGGGAGGCAACTCTTGGTGAGTACTAATTAGTGATTTTACATTGAAGGGAGCTTCAATTAAGGAGATACAAGTGTTCCACTATGTTCGCAAGAAGAAGAAGACAAGCAAAAGAGCATGAGTCAGGATAAGGAAAAATACAAAATGTCATCACTTATAGATTGTATCATTCTGAATTATTGTCCTTAGAGTAAAATTTAAAATAAATGTGAAATAATAATTCTACTCAACCGTCATAATTGCTCTGTTTTTAATTATATAGTAAAGATGGAGCTGAAAGATGGAGCTGAAATATGGCAAACACAATATGGCTACCAGTTGCCACTGGTTACTGTCCCACCTTCATAGTGCTCTGCAGGTTTGTGACGCTCTCTGTGGCAAGTATATTCAGCTCATAGATCGGTGGCCGCTGTTCCCGTGGCACATCAAATTCCAGTACTTGCAATGTCTTGACAACACCACTGTCATCAATGGAGAACTGAGCAGAGGTGGCGTTGGTGGCATCACGCAGCTGATATGTGATAGAGTTGCCTTGAAAGGCAAGGGCTTCCACCTTGAACTCTCCATTTAACCTGAAAGCACAAACATACCCAATAACTGGTCACCAGGTTCAATCTTCCAATTAGATGTGACATTTTCTTGGACCGTGACAGTTCTAATGACATGAAAACTTAGTAAAGCACAATTATGATATACGCTCTGTCATCAGTTGGGACAATTCAGTTCAGTCCCAGTACCAATACTACCATGGTGGCGGTGGGGTAGCCCAGTGGTTACAATCTTTGCTTGTCACTCCGAAGATCCTGTTTTGATCACCCACATGGGTACAATGTGCGAGCTCATGATATTGCTTGAATATTGCTAAATGTGCCATGAAAAACTAAACTCACTCACTCCAGGACAATGCCCTGGATACAAAAGCAGGAGATACCATGGACTAAACTGCCCTGGGCCTAGATTTTCGAAGCTCTCTTAGCGCTAAGAGAGCTTAGAAAATCTGGGCCCTGGGCACAAAAGTAGGAGGTACCATGTACTGTACTTCCCTAGATACAAAAGCAGGAGGTACCACGGACTAAACTGCCATGGACACAAAAGCAGGAGATACCATGTACTGTACTGCCCAGGACACAAAAGCAGGAGATACCATGCCCTGGACACAAAAGCAGGAGGTACCATGTACTGTACTGCCCAGGACACAAAAGCAGGAGATACCATGTACTGTACTGCCCAGGACACAAAAGCAGGAGATACCATGTACTGTACTGCCCTGGACACAAAAGCAGGAGGTACCATGTACTGTACTGCCCAGGACACAAAAGCAGGAGATACCATGTACTGTACTGCCCAGGACACAAAAGCAGGAGATACCATGTACTGTACTGCCCTGGATACAAAAGCAGGAGGTACCATGGACCATACTTCCCTTGATACAAAAGCAGGAGGTACCATGTACTGTACTGCCCTGAATGTAAAAGCAGGAGGTACCATGGACTATACTGCCCTCAATACAAAAGTAGGAGGTACCATGGACTATACTGCCCTCAATACAAAAGTAGGAGGTACCATGGACTATACTGCCCTCAATACAAAAGTAGGAGATACCGTGTACTGTACTGCCCTCAATACAAAAGTAGGAGATACCATGTACTGTACTGCCCAGGACACAAAAGCAGGAGATACCATGTACTGTACTGCCCAGGACACAAAAGCAGGAGATACCGTGTACTGTACTGCCCTGGATACAAAAGCAGGAGGTACCATGGACCATACTTCCCTTGATACAAAAGCAGGAGGTACCATGTACTATACATGTATGTTAACTCTAAGCAGATGAAGTTTTCAAGACTCACGTTTGATCAATGCCATTGTTTTCTCGGACAGTTCCTCTGAATGGGTTTTCGTAGAACTGTGGGGGTCTGAGTCCAACCTTCACATAAACATTAGCCATTGTCGATTGTGGGGGAGTGGCATTGTCATCACTGGCAAACACAACCAAGTTGAATTCCCGGCCCTCTTCAAATCGTCCTTGACCTTTGGTATAGATATTTCCGACCTTGATGAATGTACCTTCCAAAGGAACAGTCTCAGTGCTGACGTAGAATCTGCCATTTCCCCCTGTTGAAACAGTTAGTTCATTACTGTCAAGCATCACATAATGCACCAATCTCCTGAGTGACAACGGATAACTGTGTCACATCTAAGGTTATAATGAATTAATTCTTGTTTTCATACAATTTATCATTGATGCAAGATTGTCTGCAATCTACTCCATTCGTCCACTAATTTAATCACCTATCAATGGATAAAATACACAAGAAATCAAATAAGGGAACACAAATTTCTTTTGACTCTAGTAACCTGAACAGAACAAATAATAAAGCAAATGTTTGCTCTGAGCAGTTTCTATGTCTACACTTTTCAGGCTAATGATCTTGCAGTAGCTCATTTCCTTTGTTGTTCAACACTGCACTTGGTAATATTCCAGTTATATCATTGTAGTCTTTAAATAAGCAAGTCTGGAAAAGTCAATCCAGTGATTTACATCATATGCATCATTTTATGGAACAGGGATACAATAATATGCATTGACAAGACTGGGAGCCTGACACCCTGATCCTGTTAGTCATTTCTTACACCAAGCACAATAACCATAAAGCTCAGTATTATCATGGTATTGTATGAAAGGTATTAAATATTGTGACTATGCTGTCAGTTCTCTAAAAACAAACGTACCAGTGTTGGGAATTGGTTAAAATCTTATAATTGATTATTGGTTCATCACAAACGATCAATCATCTAAAATAATTGGTTAGCGTCATTTAAGAAATCTTCCTGTTATGTTTGTTAATAGACTAAAGTTTTTACAAAATGCATTTGCAAATTTCACATCTTTAAAGGATATTACTAGTATGTTAGGAACATAATTTTCATAAGATAAATTCGATCATGACTTGGAACGAGCTTGTAGTGATTATGAAATGTGAATTTAAGGGCGCAGACAAAACCAACCTTGTGAAAAATATTGTTAATGCTAACAAGTGTTCCAAACTTGTTTGTGTTCGATTATGAGAAAACATGATTGATCGCTTGGTTGTTTAGTCACTGCAACCAATCTTCGATTATCTCAATTAATCCGACCACCACTAAAACATACCAGAGTCAAGCCTGTAGGAGATGTTGGCGTTTGTGTCAGGGTCCTCGGCAATCACCCGATAAACCTTCTCATTGGGTGGAGTGTTGGGCCCCACAGTTGTCAGGAATGGATAGGGTTTGTTTTTAAACTCTGGATTGGCATCGTTCACATCAGTTACTGTCAGGGTTAATGTGAACTGTGTTTCATCTGGAAGATAAAGACACGACAACTTTAGAATCATGTCTAAAGAAACTTAATATTTAAACACTTTTGGTGTCAATACAACTGTGTACAGCTACACAATACAACGTCACATTAATCTGGAATACATTGAAAGTTCTTTCTAAGTCAAAATTAAACACTACTAGCATATCCCCCAAAAAGATATATATATATTTTACCATAGAAAAAGACTGATGGCAAATCGTTTAAAAAATGTACTACAAATATTTAGCTGGTATTCAAATCTAAGTGTCCTTGGCAACAAAATGGGTAAAAAAAGTCCTCATGTTCTTAATTTCTAAGGTATCTGCAATAGAGCTGTGACGTTATATCGTAGTATCGATAATCGTGATACTTTATCTGACAATAAAAATATCGATACCTTTAAAATTGTTAAAATTGTATCGATCCAATTGATATCATGATACGTATCGTATCGTGGAATTTCTGTATCATCACACCTCTAAACTGCAAAGACTATTCTAAGTTGCATTAAATGCCAAAATGTGAAACCAAGCATCCCTCTTTCCCTTTAACTCTGTTATCAGTGAAATATACGTCACATCAGTCAACAGAAACATGATAAATTGGGAAATTCCTGTTTTCCATTCAGAGACTTTAACTGACATGTGCAGCTGATAAGGGTCTGAATACCCACTCTGATCTTGTCTTTGTAAATCCTGACATGAGGTGTAAGTTGGTATGAACATTATATCTGGACGATTTAACAATTACATTATTCTGTTATGAGTGGGCACTTGCTGCACTGCCTGAAATAAGACTGACAGGTAGGTGTGGAAGGACAGCATGAACTGCTGGGTGTAACTGGAAATTATTGCCTAAAACATGCCCTAAGACAGCTGGTAACAATGGCCGACATGCCACATTTTGAACCGATCTTCAGCATGTTTCTACTGAGCATGCTAGGTACAATGCATGCTACAAATATGAGTGAGCTAGCACCAGCAGGCCATTATCAGGTTACTGGAAAAATGAACTTAGTGTCTGAAATGTTGGACAAGTATCACAAACTGTTGTTTTCATCAACTTCGCGAACTATTATAGCAAACAGTCAGGAAACATTTCATATTTACTTAGGATCTTTAGCAAACAGTGCAACCCATCATTTTCCTACTAACTACTATCAACAATTATGCTCAAAATTAGCAGTAATTACGTTGAGCATCATATTACTAATGATCCTTGAGAACAAAATTCGGGGACCCCAAGGCCAAGCTGAGTATGCATGAACACCTTACACAAAAATAAAAAACCCATCCATTGACAGGAAACATTTATATGACAACTGAAGAGCAAACTCATTGTGCTACAAGTCAATTATATAAAAATCAGATGTATTTACAGAAATAGATATAGACCTGGGAAGATTAGTCTTCCACATGGAGACAAAACTCAGAATCCACGAAAGAATTACACTGAACTGACTCTTGCACGACCTTAATGGAAAGTGGTAAAAGAATGTGCCACAATGGTGAGTTAAGATAAGAGTTTCCTTGGACTACAAAGGGCCAACAAAGGCGAGTATTACCAAAGGCCATTAATGGATTAACTTGTACATGGCTCTGAACCAGCACATGGTGGTTCCATTGTGGGAAAATGGCATGAGTGTGACAATTAAGATGTGCGGCTTAAACTAAAACAAAACTATGGATTTTCACAACACTTCCATAACAGCAGCAAGTTGGGCAGAAAATTAAGTCCAAATCTCTGATTGTGACGGCTGCTTTGCATAGCGTGCTCATCAGTCATAGGCTAATATTTGGTCAGCAGGGGTCAAGGGTGTGCCATCTGCAACCCTGCTGTGTTGCAATGTCAAGGCCACCTCATCACTTCACCCCCATGGGCTGACAATGACATAAACCTCAGCTGGTTGACAATCACATAAACTTGAAGATTAGAACATCAGTTCAAGTCAGAAGCACAAACAGGATGGGTTCACTGAAGCGGTTTACAAAGTACCCAGCAACGTAACCATGGTTACATGACCATAACACCATTCTTTTAAGAAGGGAGGAGATGTTATAGATCTATTATTCCATGTGCTAGAACATTAACTAGTTTATGCATAGTTTAAATCACGTTACCATGACTACCCATAGCCATGTTGTCCCAAAGATGGGCATGAAAGGACCAAAAGAATCTGAAGCACATGATGAAGTGAGGTTCTAGCTGGTATTGTATTTTGTAATCGATAGCCAGTTCTGCAGCAAACAATGAACTTGTCAAAATGTTGATGGAACAGAGCTGCTGATGCAATTAAATGGCAACATGTGATAAGGGCGAGATACAGGACAATACAACAGTGTTTCAATTAATCATTCGTGTTATACACCCTTAATCACCAGGTACTGATCTAGGAAACAATGTTAAACAGTCTTCACAGCGCAATACAATAGAGATAGTTGACATAGTGTTGCAATGATGATTCCTCAAATACAACACTGTTGGATAATGAATCTCTAGGCGGATCCGGTGTGGTGTGGTGTGGTGTGGTGTGGTGTGGTGTGGTGTGGTGTGGTGTGGTGTGGTGTGGTGTGGTGTGGTGTGGTGTGGTGTGGTGTGGTGTGGTGTGGTGTGGTGTGGTGTGGTGTGGTGTGGTGTGGTGTGGTGTGGTGTGGTGTGGTGTGGTGTGGTGTGGTGTGGTGTGTGTGTGTGTGTATGTGCGCGCTGCCATGCGTGCGTCCGTGTATGCACGTGCATGTGCACCCCTCTTTTGTCCTGAAAGTTTATTAAATGACCATTGAAACTCTAGTGAAAACGGATGAAAATTAACTGTGCACCCTCCCTTTCTCAAAAAGCTGCATCCCCCAGTGCTGTGTTGAAGCAACAACGTTGTGTGATACCAGTTGTTATCCAGACAATGTGAAACAGTTGTGTGATGCTAGTTATCCTGGCAACATACAACATTGTACTTATTAATACCAGTTGTTACCCTGGCAATGTGCAACAATGTTGTGTGATGTTATCCTGGACACATGCAACAATGTTGTGTGATGTTATCCTGGACACATGCAACAATGTTCTGTGATGTTATCCTGGACACATGCAACAATGTTCTGTGATGTTATCCTGGACACATGCAACAATGTTCTGTGATGTTATCCTGGACACATGCAACAATGTTCTGTGATGTTATCCTGGACACATGCACAATGTTCATGCAACACATGCAACAATGTCTGTGATGTTATCCTGACACATGCAACAATGTTCTGTGATGTTATCCTGGACACATGCAACAATGTTATCTGGACACATGATGTTATCCTGTTATCCACATGCAACAATGTTCTGTGATGTTATCCTGGACACATGCAACAATGTTCTGTGATGTTATCCTGGACACATGCAACAATGTTCTGTGATGTTATCCTGGACACATGTTGTTCTGATGTTATCATGGACACACAACAATGTTCTGTGATGTTATCCTGACACATGCAACAATGTTCTGTGATGTTATCCTGGACACATGCAACAATGTTCTGTGATGTTATCCTGGACACATGCAACAATGTTCTGTGATGTTATCCTGGACACATGCAACAATGTTCTGTGATGTTATCCTGGACACATGCAACAATGTTCTGTGATGTATCCTGGATCCTGGACACATGCAACAATGTTCTGTGATGTTATCCTGGACACATGCAACAATGTTCTGTGATGTTATCCTGGACACATGCAACAATGTTCTGTGATGTTATCCTGGACACATGCAACAATGTTCTGTGATGTTATCCTGGACACATGCAACAATGTTCTGTGATGTTATCCTGGACACATGCAACAATGTTCTGTGATGTTATCCTGGACACATGCAACAATGTTCTGTGATGTTATCCTGGACACATGCAACAATGTTCTGTGATGTTATCCTGGACACATGCAACAATGTTCTGTGATGTTATCCTGGACACATGCAACAATGTTCTGTGATGTTATCCTGGACACATGCAACAATGTTCTGTGATGTTATCCTGGACACATGCAACAATGTTCTGTGATGTTATCCTGGACACATGCAACAATGTTCTGTGATGTTATCCTGGACACATGCAACAATGTTCTGTGATGTTATCCTGGACACATGCAACAATGTTCTGTGATGTTATCCTGGACACATGCAACAATGTTCTGTGATGTTATCCTGGACACATGCAACAATGTTCTGTGATGTTATCACATGCAACAATGGACACATGCAACAATGTTCTGTGATGTTATCCTGGACACATGCAACAATGTTCTGTGATGTTATCCTGGACACATGCAACAATGTTCTGTGATGTTATCCTGGACACATGCAACAATGTTCTGTGATGTTATCCTGGACACATGCAACAATGTTCTGTGATGTTATCCTGGACACATGCAACAATGTTCTGTGATGTTATCCTGGACACATGCAACAATGTTCTGTGATGTTATCCTGGACACATGCAACAATGTTCTGTGATGTTATCCTGGACACATGCAACAATGTTCTGTGATGTTATCCTGGACACATGCAACAATGTTCTGTGATGTTATCCTGGACACATGCAACAATGTTCTGTGATGTTATCCTGGACACATGCAACAATGTTCTGTGATGTTATCCTGGACACATGCAACAATGTTCTGTGATGTTATCCTGGACACATGCAACAATGTTCTGTGATGTTATCCTGGACACATGCAACAATGTTCTGTGATGTTATCCTGGACACATGCAACAATGTTCTGTGATGTTATCCTGGACACATGCAACAATGTTCTGTGATGTTATCCTGGACACATGCAACAATGTTCTGTGATGTTATCCTGGACACATGCAACAATGTTCTGTGATGTTATCCTGACACATGCAACAATGTTCTGTGATGTTATCCTGGACACATGCAACAATGTTCTGTGATGTTATCCTGGACACATGCCTGGAACAAACAATGTTCTGTGATGGACACATTATCCTGGACACA